GGAAAGAATTGAGCCGGCTGACGAGCACACCATTCCATATTCACATTACAATTTTACTCAAACTTCTTTTATTTCAAAACTTCATTATGCAAGACCTTGAAACCCATGAAATTTGCGTAACTTGTTTTGGTATAAGCCCTATTTTNAAATTTGGATCACTCCAAATTACTGCTTAAAAACTAATATTTTTTTCTTGTCTAAATACTAAATAAACGCAATCTAAACTTTTAATTTAGAAGAAAATTAAAAACTACTTATTTTTAAATATGGATTTTGTTTGACCAAGTTCTAGTAGCTTCCATTTATTCTGACTAAATATAAATTTCCATATTGAAGTAATGTTTAAGTAAACTTAATAATTTGAACAACGGAATAATATTTGTTGATTTTGTATATTATTATTAATTCTTAAACATTCTCAACTGCAGCAATCTTACCAGGCAGCTCATATTTTATTTAAATTTGATTTTCTGTGCCATATTGGCATGAAAATACATCTTCCTCTCGTTTTTCTAATAATTCAGAGCCGTTACAGCATAAACATCTTTACTTGATTCATTTTATTATACAAAACAGGCGACGTTTCTTCAATCTGGACAAAGTATTTAAGGTTATGTTCAGATATACTCTACATACGTAAATTAACTTATTAAACACGATGCATACCATATATAAATGTGAAAATTACATATTTGAGGTCTTACGTATAATTACTAACTTAAATTGTGTATTTATATACATGGTGATTCAATCATAATGTCATTAATTTTAAGGGAAGATGAGTAGAATACGAATACGCGAATAAAGAAATTTTAAAATCCATATTTACGCTGTAGAAAATATTTTCAGATACCCCTTTCCGGACCGATCCTGCTGCTAACCCACAAAGGTTTATCGAGAGTGAATCTTGACTTGCCGTATTATTCGGTCACTAACCTAACTTTTATTGCATTTTTAATGTATAGGTAACGATAATAATTGTTTTCGAATGTTAAGATTATTAAAATTTAGTATTTTTTATATTGTTAACGTTTTTACTATGTTTTATAATTGAATATTGCGAAGTAGGGCGCCGAATTAACAGGAGTGAAAGGGAGGTAAATCTGTAGTTCTTTGATGACGTCATGCGCAGATAGAAAAGAATTGAGCCGACTGACTAGTACACTATTCCATATGCACACTACAATTTTACTCAAACTTCTTTTATTTCAAAACTTCATTATGCAAGACCTTGAAACCCATGAAATTTGCGTAACTTGTTTTGGTATAAGCCCTATTTTATCGCCTCGTATAAAATAGGAAAAGATATACGAAGTGTGAACAGAAAATAGTGTAGCGATCACTCAAATTCATAATTGAATTAGCGAAGGAGTGTTAGTCAAATGAGTTCAGTTTTATGGTGGGTCGATGCCCTGTACATGTACAAACCACCCACCTATAATACGTGTTTGAACAATGGAAAAATTTAAACGCATGTAAACGGATCAAGCCAGAACTCGGGAGTGTATCCGCAATAAAAGGCATTAACATCGCCCAATAAAATATAGTAACTATCCAAACTGCAACTTAAAAATGTTGTGGGAGTAGTTCTAATTTGAAAATTTGTTTTGTGAAGTCAGTATCAATGTTACGATGAACTGTTCATCAAGTATGGGGATATGATTCATGAATCACGATTGGTTGTGAATAAAAATGGGACTTTCACAAAATTCTTTTATTTTTGCTGCCCGCTTCTTTGTACCTATGATTCATTGTCAGGTAATTAAACTGCAGTACGAGGAAGAAAGCAACATATTTGTACGATGGAAGCAAATATTAGTCATTATTATTCGTGAATAAAACAGTAATTAAATTTTAGAAAAAAGTTAATCACAGTTTAATTCAACTGTATTGAAGTTTAAGTGAATCATTGTTATCAACAAAACAGGTCTTTATAAAACTAAAAAAATTTAGGCAATTGTGCTTAAAACTCATTTATTATAGCTTTTTTCACATATTTTATCTTAATTCTATTGTCAAACTTTTGATCAGAACGTATGCAAGAAGTTCAAATGAACTGCGGGACAATTCTGACTCCTTAACAAGATATAGCAACTTGAAGATAACCTGACGACTGACCATGGTATTCCTATGTATTTTTCTTATTTTTACAGCGTAATAGTCGCAGTGCACTGAGCAGAACAGCCCTCAACTGCTTTGTCCGTACCTATACTATTTACTGTATTATATGTTTTGTGTTATTTACTGTCAAATTTTTCACTCGTGAAAAAGCTATTTATTATTTAAACAGTTTTTACTCTTTTTTTAATCACAACTTTCAATTGTCTGTTGCTGAATTAAAATACATCGCATTGTAGATACAAATTTTCTATTCTAATACGAGACAAAGGCATTTCCCATGATAAAGAATCGTGCTTTGGTCGATTGCAAACTGGAAACTCCTTCAAGTCTGTGGTTATTTTTATAATTTCAAATTTATTTTATTTTGAGACTACGTCATTCTTACTCTAAGGCACTATTGAATCATACTTTCGGTCGCATATTATCTCGCCTTTACATTTTAGAAATGAATGAAATAATGTATTAAAAATACCTATTAAAGTTTGTTCTAAAATGGAAACCGCTCGTCACCTGATCAAGGATGTGGTCTGATATGTTCACAGTGTGGTTTTGATCGAGTCTAAAGTTAATAGCATTACAAGATAACGACCGTATAACCTAAATAAAAAAAGAGCTGTTTCATATATTAATTCTTTTTAACAAATATTCCTGTTCAATGTGTGAAATTATCACTGATTTTAATGTAAAACATCTTGATTTTGTAACAAATTTTTAAATTATAGAAATCTAAAAATCAGATTAAAAAAGATTGGAAAAATAAACATTTAATATTTAAGCAAGAGGTATATAAAAAGTAAAAAAAATATGAAGAAAAAAAACGTGCAAAAACTACAAAAATATAGAAACTAAGCATTGCTATTGTCAACCCTTCTTCCAAATATTTTTTTAAGTAGACATAATAATGTGCAATTTACTTTTAGTTGATTTATTTTAGTTTATTTTACAATATCTATTTTTATTTATTTATTTAAGTTGAAAACGAACGGTAACTATGGAAAATTTAACATTTATTTCTGAACTATATTAACCATTTTGTTAACAAAATGAATTAACATCGAATATTCTTTGTAATCCAAAGGATCATCAAAAATGCGACCGCATTTGATGTTATTCATGGTTTGGCTTTTAAAACTCGCTGTGAATTGAAAATCAACTAACTAGTAGCGATATTGTAAAATTAATTATGCACATGACTCATTGCGTGCCTTGAAATTACACCGCTTTATTGCTAATGTCTAAAAACGTAGTCGACAGTACCGACTTTTCACTTTATCTGTGTGGCTGTTAGTCATCCGTATATTTTTTTCAATTTGACCCCACATCTGTTTGTTTACCTTATTATACTCATATATACGTCGCGCGACAAATTGCAGTTATTACCAAATTAGCGGACACAGTATTTTTTTTATTTGAAGTTCATGTACTTACCTACATCAAAATATTGAATTTCACATTTTTTTATGTATGGAAATAAGAAAAAAAAGCATATTTTCACCTCATATGTTTGTCTTACGTTTCCTGAAATTTGCACGCATGTTGAACATACAGAAAATGCGTACGGTGTAATCTTTCCGAAGTCAGTTGAACATATAAAAACACCTAGCAATAAAATTTAATAAGTTTTATAGGCGTCCCTAAAAAAGTTTTCTGCTAAAGGTAAAACATTATAATAATTTGTATATCATACCAAATTCTGCATTGCTGCACTGCACTGATAGGCCATTTGTCGACAACTGAATGTATGGTCAGGTTACCCTGTGCGGTTGTGTTTGTGCCGCGTTTGCCCTCGCATTTATTCTTCAACTGGGTCTACCAGACCTGTATGTGGGTATAGCTAAATAAATATGAGAACAAGTTTTTCAAATATTTCAATGCCGAGTTGCTGCATGAGCGACCGAACCTGGTACATACTGCCAACCTCTTGGTTTTCAGTAGACATCGGAAAGACTATACTATAAACATAATCACACCCCGCATAATACTTTTAGGAAACTATTAACACATGCATTATTCAGAATTACTGAGTATCTTTATAAATTTACTGGACAAAACAGGAAAAGTACAATTTCTGATGTTTACATGTTCTCCGTGATCTTTCAATGCGAAAAATTAAAGTTGCTCTAGTTTAGCGCTGTGCTTCGTCACTTCCTTGATGGAACTACGTGTTCTATCATTGTCTTACTAAAAGTGCGATTTCTTGTCTATATAATGCCTTAACATATACCAAAATCTGAAGATGAAGAATAATCACCCGGAAGATTATGGGTCACAACCCATTTTCTTGTATTACAATAAAGAATGATTTATGATCCAAGGAACTTAAGTACTTCTTTTAGTTACAATTCTTCATTAATAGTACGTTTGTTATACATCAAGGGACTAAAGTGTATATTTTCACTTCGTGGTCAAAAGTTGTCAACATGAAAATCATTAATTGCTTTCACTTTGTATTCTAAGAAATTAAAATGGAAAACGGAGAATATTTTTTTAATTTCTTATTTCTGGGTAAAGAGGAAAATTTACAGTCGTAAATGTAATTCATTGGAGAAAAATAAATTTTATGATGTTATTAAATATCTGACCTGACAAGTGTGAATAAATTTAAAAACAAATACATGTGCTAAGAGGAAAACTAATAAAACATTTTGATGTTGATAAACCAGTTATCTTCATGTTTAATACTGATTAATTAATGTTACAGTAATTATAATTTTTATATAACTATAAAAGAATTGATATAAACAATTTGCTTTCAGTGCTGTGCAAAATGATTTGTTTTCTCAAAGTTTCAATATTTTTTTTATGGTGTAAAATCATCTCCATGATTTCCTACTTTGATTTTTTGAAATTAATTAATTATTTTTAATTTCTTTTTACAGACTTACTCTGGACTTTTCTGCGTCGTGGTCAACCCCTACAAGAAATTGCCGATTTACACAGAAAAGATCATGGAACGATACAAAGGCATCAAGAGACACGAAGTACCCCCACATGTGTTCGCCATTACCGATACTGCCTACAGATCCATGTTGCAAGGTACGAAAAATAATATCCATAAAATTACTAATTTAAAGTTTCAGCAGAAAATTTTAATTCAATTCAACAATATAGAAATCGAAAATATCTTTGTTAGTTTTTGGTCTCTAAAACCAAGTACGCAAGGAACAAAGTTTTCGGATTTTGTCGTTTTCCAGGTTTAATTTGAAAAACCACACAAAAACATTTTGTGATCATTTTCTTGGTTCTTTTCAAATAATTTCATTACGTGTCATCTTTTAGCATCCTTCACCATTTTTATTTTTTCCTGGAGGTTGTATCTGCAATTTCTTTACAATTTTGCATTCAAATATTAATAGAAAATGGAAAAATTCGCATAATTTTTATAGCTTATTCTAATATAATTTAAAGTTTCACTAAAATTTTATTATTCCTTAATTTTTTGATACTTCATCGTACCTAGTAATAAAATTATTTACAAGTAAAATTTTTCATTTATAGTTTTTTTTGCAATTTTGTATTCAAAATTTTTCCATAAGTTAATAGAAAATGGACAAATAAAATTTTACCAAAATTGCAAGTAAATTGGGTACATTGGATTTGTTAATGAAATATATATACTAGTATTATTGGAAATAATGCTGAGTTTTCCCCGTAACTCTTGTATTTTTAACTTACAATTAGTAAGTTATATTTCCTTAAAATTTTGAGATTCATTTTTTATTAATCTAAAATATCTTAATATAAAATTGTAAACAAAAATTAAACCAATATTCTTGAAGAAGAAATGATTACTTTTCCAGTTTGAAATTCAAGAATTTAGTAGTGAAAAAAATAATAATTAAAAAAAGATAAATCCGATGATATTTGCAAATACACTGAAAATTTACTCCTTATTCAAGTAAAGAAGAAAAAATTATGGTACGAATTTATTTCCATGTTCTTCAAATAAAACATGGATAAAATCGAATTCTGAAAATTTCAAGTTTTTCAAAAATCCTAGAAAACAAGCACATACGCCCTCGATTTCTCTCCGAGTATCTAATTACGAGTATTATTCACTAAATTACCTACTCAATTCCATTTCCAACATTTTTTAACTGTTCTTTTTTGGTATTCGTTTTTGTTTATTCGAGTGTAATAAATTTCTTGTATACAGTATGTCCATCGTTGTGAGTAAGCTATCTAAGTAATATGAAATAAGGTAATTATGGTTTTTTCGTAACACAACTGAAACTTAACATCATATAAGAGTAGTAATACCTACTCTTTAGTATTTCAAAATATTTCTTGGGATCACTTTAAATTCTTCAAAAAATTAAACACTGTATATAAATAGGCCAATCATTATAGCTTTTTTGGGAAAAAAATACTATTAGAAGTTTCTCTGCGGAATATTGTTCACAAACGTGTTATAAACAAAATATCAAAAAATCAACTCGAGACTTGTTGGGAAAGTTTGTTAAAACGATGGTCAAAATTATGGAAAAGTGGTTTTTCAACTGGCGTAAAAAAACTGTTATTCATAGAGAAAAAAAGGTTTATACAAAAAAGGTAGGTATTAAATAAATCTGTAAAATAAGACAAGTCCTATTAAATTCCGATAATTTGTTTATGCGCAAGAGCTCAAAAATGGTCGAAATTGCCCGCTTTTTTCAATTGCTAATAATTAATGCAATTTTCATCGCAGACACTTCTAATTCAGGATTTTTTAAGCTTTTTGCACCCTTAATAAGTGGTAAAAATTTCAGCCCAAAAGCTTCATTAGCTTGGCGTTGGCGGAATTTGTTATCTAAGAAAATGCTATTTTCAATTAATTTTTCCCAAGCTCTCAGGCGTTGTAGGGTTTTGATCATTAGTTGTTTTTGTACCTAAATAGTTGTATTGACATATGCATTTACTGATAATTTAATTTTTCAAATTTAATTTGTTTAAAAATGACTGAAAAAATGTTAATATGTATTTATTACATCTTTTTTGTATAAACTTTTTTCACTATGAATAATAGCTTTTTACGTGAGTCAAAAAACCACTTTTCCATAACTTTGACCACTGTTAAAACAAAGTTTCCCAACTAGCCTCGAGTTGATTTTTTGATATTTTATTTATAACAGGTTTCCGAACAATATTCCGCAGAGAAACTTCTAATAGTATTTTTTCCCGAAACAGGCTCTTTCATGTCTATACTGACTGGGCTAAAAGTTAAGAACGTAGTAACATTTTTAAGAGTTTGAGGGCAAGTACGAATTTTTAAAAAAATTACATTTTCGCAGCAATTTACAAATAAAAATTTGTTCTTCAAGACACAACTGTATTAAAAAATAATATACGGGGTGTTATTCTCTCCAAAGTATTCAACCTAAACTGCATATTGTCCCTTAAAACAGGTAATTTTAATAATTTCGTACTTTTAATCCCTTTACATATATGTTTAAGGTCAGAAACTTTTTTTATATACAGTTGGTCCAAATCGTCCCATTTCTTTCTGGGATACCATGTACAAGGAACAAAATATATACAAAAGTGTATAATTTTTCTGGACGTAACTGCAGCGTTTCAATGATTTTGTCATAAAATTTCAAGATTACAAGAACACTATTTGTGACATTTTTAAAAATACCTCTTTTCTTAATGTTTCACGTTTACTTTAACATTGTAAGATTTTTCTCTGAATAAATTTTAATTTTAACAAAGTGCGTCTTTCTTGCAGAGAGAGAGGATCAGTCGATTTTGTGTACAGGAGAATCAGGTGCGGGTAAAACCGAGAATACCAAAAAAGTAATTCAGTATTTGGCCTATGTAGCTGCCTCAAAATCTCCCAAGGGCTCTGGTGCGGTAAGTACATTGCTCAATTAGAATCCCGGACATGTACATATTTATCTCGGTTTACTAGCTACCAATCGCTGTCTAGTGCATGGATCGTAGCATCCACATATTTTTTTATGAATATATAATTAGTAATGTTGCACATATATATTTATTATGACACTTCGTATATGGTGAATGTTTTTTCTAATTTCTATTTTCTTTGCATGGTTTCGTTTTGGGGATATACAGCAGAAAGACCTTATCGTAAGTAGTTTTTTATTTATTTAATTAGGTATTGCTTGCTTGTATTGTAAATAAAGACAGATTAGAGGTAAATAGGAAAGGTTTATAGTCTCTTTGCTTAGTGATAAAGGAAATCAAATATAAATGGATGATTGAAATTTTTTAGAGATGAATAAGCCATATTAACTCACTATTATATAGACTTATGAAAGATATATTGTTTTGTATATAGTTTTCTAAGTTTTCCACTACAAACTTTTACAATTTACTTATTTACCAAAAAATCGTCATACTTTATGGCAAAATGCATTCCTCTGAAGATAAAAAATATGCTGTTTTGGCAATTTCTTTGTAGGTAGTTTTAAAGACTCAAGTGTTCGTTGGAACACACTGTACAAAAAAATATTTACAAATCGTCTTATCCTGTATTCTTATTTTCTGTAATATATGCATATACATATTAGCTTAAATCACTTAAATCTTTACAGCTTGGCAAATTTCGTTTCAACCCAACATTAAATTCCGTATTGTTTCGTTCAGAATTTTTTTATTCATTAAATATTTTATTTTTATATTTTTTGTTTTGAAAAAAAAATTTGTCAAGTTGTAACACATTTTTATATAGAGTGAGCATACCAAAATTGTACTCTATTGGGATTCCATGTAAAAGTTTGAATACAATTGTATTTAACTTTTGAGAAAAAAATAGACGGATTAGATGAGTAATAAAATAATAAAAATTCTGTATGTACAAGGTTTGTCAATTTCGATTTCTTTGTGTTTTCTGAAGAGGTGGACAGAAAATGGATAAGGCGTGTCAGATTTTATTTTAGAGAAAAATTAAACTATGAAAACCACATCTAGATGGATGAATTTGTTTAAGAACTATAGGGAATTTTTTAATTTTGACCTTTTTTTGTGGTGGTGGATAACTTTTTATTCGTGTAAATTTTTGTTTTATTTGCAACATCTGTAGAATCCGACGACATTCACAATATTTTTCTACAACTTCAAACATATATATTTTTTAAAATCTACGCAAATGTGTGTAAAAACTATGTGAAATTGCCAACAACAAAATAATCAGCTGATGTTTTTTTTTTAATTCAACCATTTTATGATACAATTAAGTGGTCTATGTATTTTTTTTAATGATATATTGATGGCACTCTAATTGTACCGTGAAACAGTTGAATTACAGTTCTTGGTACACATGCACAAAAATGTTTTGTGTAAATATCATGTATTCATACATAGATAACCTAACTCAAAAGATGAAAATTAAAAAAAAAAATCAATACAAAAATTAAACATAAAAAAAATCAAAAATGAAAAGCATCCTCTCTCTCTTAAACAAATCAAGATATTGAGATGTGATTTACTTAATTAATTTTTTTTTAATCAAGCCAGACCTGTTTAATTTTTGTCTATCATACAGTATTTCCAAATACAGAGAAATTGCCGTCACTGCACTTTAAGGAGGTTTATCGGGTTTGGAGGTACGTCTAAAAGTCTAACGAGAGTTTCTGTATATTCGCTAGTGACTAAAGTAGTAAAGTAGTAAGCCTTTAGATTTGGCAACGTTGCACTTGACTGGCTTTGTTTGAATGCCTAAGCTTGAAATATACACCATATGTCACACCTGCGAATTTCAAACAATACGCTATGTCGAGAACCGCAGCGTTGCCGCTATCAAGCTTATGGACGTTAAGTTAATCAACAACAGTAGTTTGAAGAAGAATTATTATAATTTATATATCTTACAAGTACCTAATCGATTTCTACGAGCTGTCATATGGTTCCTTAGATATCGGTTTCCTATTTATACAAGTTGCTGTAGAAACTGTTTGTCAATTGCTGCGCATTCTAAGTGGAAAGACCAAAAAAATCTGCATTCTCATAAGACTGTACTAAATCGTGAAAAATTATTTTATTAATATCTCGTCTCTTAAGTATCCAAACTAGTCATAATTTTTTTGAGGATATTCTTCATATTAATAAGCTTATATTAATTTTTTTTATGAATATTTGTTCATCAATTCCAAATCAGATAAACCTCCTTAAACTTATTTTTATATTTTACAAATATTTTGCGCAACATGCAAAATGCCAAATGTATCCAAACCTTTTGCACAAATACCCAATATTAACATATAGCGAAATAGATTGATTAGAGTCTTCATTTACTGCTGATTAGATAATGCTCTATCTGTAATTGATGCCAGCATTATTTTTCTCTTATTTTACATGCGGTCAATGCCAGAGTCCTACAAGGGAATTTTCGGTATGTAAATTTGATGTTAGGCTAGCTGGCGCATAGTCTCATTGGTTACACATCATTTTTATGATACTTAACAACCTGGCTTAAAGAATAACCTACATTGTGCACATCTAACGACAGTTCGTTGTTTAGATATAAGACATGTCTTTGTCTACATAATTCTAATAAGCTTCAGAGTTATGTGTATTTTTTATTGCAGCTATGTTTTTCCTGGTTTTCATGCAGATATTTTCCTGCAACACATTACAATAGTTATATAAGTTTAAAAAAATATTATAATCTTCATCATTAGAATTCTGAAAAATTATCTATTCCCATCAATCAAACAAATGTATATCTCTCAATCAACAACATTTTCTACATTCTGATATAGTTGTTAACTAAAAATAGTACCTTTCCTTTTATTTGTTTTTTTATCATTTATATAAATATTGTAATGAAATAAAAACTAACATGTGTGCTTTAATTGGACACTTAGGATTCCGTTTTAACTGAGTATTTAATGTTTAGGGCGGATTGGAACAACAACTTCTTCAAGCAAATCCGATTTTAGAAGCATTTGGCAATGCGAAAACGATAAAGAACGACAACTCTTCAAGATTCGTAAGTAATATTTCTATGTATCCTAAGTTTTTGTACTTACCAAATCGTTTTTAGGGTAAATTTATCAGAATAAACTTCGACGCTTCTGGATATATTGCCGGTGCCAACATAGAAACCTATTTATTAGAAAAGTCCCGTGCCATAAGACAAGCCAAACATGAAAGAACCTTCCACATCTTCTACCAACTCTTGGCTGGTGCTTCTGAGGCCCAGAGAAGTAAGGATATATTTCTAAGTTAAACGAACTATTTTTAACTGTTTTTTTTTTTCTACAGAGGAGTTCATATTGGAAGACTCACGATCTTACAGTTTCCTCCGCGAAGACAATCACATCGTACCTGGAGTGGACGACGCAGCAGAATTCCAGGCTACCGTCAAGAGCATGAATATTATGGGAATGAACAATGAAGACTTCAGTGCCATCTTCCGCGTCGTGTCATCGGTGATGCTTTTTGGCAAAATGGAGTTCAAGCAAGACCGCAGCTCCGATCAGGCCACCCTTCCTGATAATACTGTTGCTCAAAAGATTGCTCATCTACTGGGACTGTCTGTTACCGACATGACCCGTGCCTTCCTGAAACCCAGAATCAAAGTAGGCCGTGATTTTGTAACTAAGAGCCAGACAAAAGAACAAGTAGAGTTTGCCGTGGAAGCCGTTTCCAAGGCTTGTTACGAGCGTATGTTTAAATGGTTAGTGACTAGAATAAATAGATCTCTTGGTAGGACTAAGAGACAAGGAGCTAGTTTCATAGGCATCCTTGATATAGCAGGTTTCGAGATATTCGAGTTGAACTCTTTTGAACAACTGTGTATTAATTACACCAACGAAAAGCTGCAGCAACTCTTCAATCACACCATGTTCATCTTGGAACAAGAGGAATATCAGAGGGAAGGCATAGAGTGGAAGTTTATCGATTTCGGTCTCGATTTACAACCAACGATTGATTTAATCGATAAACCAATGGGTATTATGGCTTTGTTGGACGAAGAGTGTTTGTTCCCGAAAGCAACCGACAAAACTTTTGTCGACAAACTCGTCAGTTCTCACTCGGTCCATCCAAAATTCAAGAAGAGCGATTTCCGTGGTGTGGCCGATTTCTCTATAATCCACTACGCAGGAAAAGTAGATTACTGCGCTAAGCAGTGGTTGATGAAGAACATGGATCCTCAAAATGAAAACGTTGTCTCTTTGTTACAAGCCTCTCAAGATCCTTTTGTGGTCCATATTTGGAAAGACGCGGAAAGCATAGGTCGTGCTAAGGGTATGTTCAGAACTGTGTCTTACCTATACAAGGAGCAACTGGCTAATCTTATGGTTACTCTACGTAACACCAACCCCAACTTTGTCCGTTGCATAATCCCAAATCACGACAAGAGGGCTGGTAAAATCGATGCACCCTTAGTCTTGGACCAACTCAGATGCAACGGTGTCCTTGAGGGTATCCGTATTTGTCGCCAAGGTTTCCCTAACAGGATACCTTTCCAAGAGTTCAGGCAACGTTACGAACTGTTAACGCCGAACGTTATAAACAAAGGTTTCATGGATGGCAAGAAAGCTTGCGAAACGATGATCAGGACTCTAGAACTCGACAAGAACCTGTACCGTATCGGGCAATCCAAGATCTTCTTTAGGGCCGGAGTTTTGGCTCACCTTGAGGAAGAAAGGGATTATAAAATTACTGACCTCATTGTCAACTTCCAAGCGTTCTGCAGAGGTTTCTTGTCTAGACGTAATTACCAAAAGAGGGTTCAACAACTCAATGCCATTCGCATCATTCAAAGAAACTGCTCGGCTTATCTTAAACTGAGAAATTGGCAATGGTGGAGGTTGTATACTAAGGTAAAACCATTGCTGGAGGTGACTAAGCAAGAAGAAAAATTGATGCAGAAAGAAGATGAACTCAAACAGGTTAAAGACAAACTAGAGCACCACATTAAAACTGCGCAAGAATACGAGAAGAAATATCAGCAAGCGCAAGATGAAAAAATTGTACTTCAAGAGCAGTTGCAAGCAGAAGTTGAGTTGTGTGCCGAGGCTGAAGAAATGAGGGCCAGGTTAACCGCACGCAAAATGGAACTGGAAGAAATCCTTCATGATCTCGAAGCTAGAATTGAAGAAGAAGAAGAACGTACAAACACCTTGAACAACGAGAAGAAAAGATTACAACAAACCATAACCGACTTAGAGGAGCAATTAGAGGAAGAAGAAGGTGCTAGGCAAAAAATTCAGTTGGAGAAAGTCCAGTGTGACAATAAAATCAAAAAGCTGGAAGAGGATCTTGCCCTGAGTGACGACACTAATCAGAAGTTATTGAAGGAAAAGAAATTGTTGGAGGAACGCAGCAACGACTTAAGTCAGGCTTTAGCCGAAGAAGAAGAAAAAGCCAAACACCTGGCTAAACTGAAAACTAGACATGAATCTACAATTGCAGAATTAGAAGAACGTCTCTTGAAAGACCACCAACAGAGACAAGAAACCGATAGGTCTAAGAGGAAAGTTGAAACAGAAGTTAACGATTTAAAGGAACAATTGAATGAAAAGCGTACCCAAATTGAGGAATTACAACTACAATTGGGTAAAAGGGAAGAAGAACTCGCCCAAGCGATGGTTAAAGTAGATGAGGAAAGCGCTTCAAAAGCTCAGTCCCAAAAAGCTCTAAGAGAATTAGAGAGCCAGCTTATTGAACTTCAAGAAGACCTTGAAGCAGAAAAGGCTGCTAGAAGCAAAGCCGAAAAAATGAAGAGAGACTTGAATGAAGAACTCGAAGCTCTTAAGAACGAGTTACTGGATTCTCTCGACACAACTGCCGCTCAACAAGAGCTACGATCCAAGAGGGAACAGGAATTGGCAACTCTAAAGAAGACTCTGGAAGAGGAAACTCAAGTTCATGAAGTTACACAAGCCGAGATGAGGCATAAACATACACAGGAGCTTACTTCTATCAACGAGCAGCTTGAAAATCTTAAGAAAGCTAAGACTAACCTTGAAAAAGCTAAACAAGCTTTGGAAGCCGAAAACGCTGACCTTGCCAGTGAATTACGAAACGTCGGTGCAAGCAGACAGGAAGGTAAGACTAATTAAAAAAAGAATCACGCAGTGCAATCTTAAATAATTTTTTTCTGTAGGTGAAAGAAGGCGCAAACAAGCTGAGAATCAAGTGGCTGAATTGTCTTCCAAACTGGCCGAAGTAGATCGGGCCCGAACTGAATTACAAGAAAAAACTATTAAGTTACAGCAAGAAGTTGAAAATGTATTGCAACAGTTAGAAGAAGCAGAACTTAAGTGAGTAACAATTAATTTCAATGTGGTCATAAATAAAGTAACATATTTTCAGAGCTTCAGCTGCCAATAAGAATCAAGCAACTATTGAATCCCACTTTGCTGAAGCCCAGGCTGCTCTAGAAGAAGAAACACGCCAGAAGTTAGCTCTTAGTTCGAAACTAAGACAGCTAGAGTCGGAAAAGGAGAACCTCCTTGAACAGATGGAGGAAGAAGAAGAAGCTAAAAAGAATCTCGAAAAGCAAGTAAGTACAAAATACTGTTTCATGTCTCCTTTATATGGGTGTTTTAAGGATAACTCTGTCTGACAAAAAAAAATTAAAAAATAAACAAATGCCTCGCCTACAAAAAAATTTTAATGAAACATCACTATTAACAATAAAACTTGAATATTACAATTTTACCCACATTAGACAAATACTAAAATAGAAGAGACTTAATTTTGCAAGAATGACAGTTAAGAAACAACTAATTTTATCGCGAACAGTAGACGTATTAATTGATTTCTTTCATTCATCTCCACTGTTTAACTTTCTGCAACTTTCAAATATACTGATGTTCAAATAATGATGTTTATTATTAAAATATACTTTTTTCTGCTATTTCTTAAGCTTAAGCCTAAGCTTAAGGTAAAATTGAAGCAATCGGCTTCTTTTACCAAGACCCATTCGAAATAAATCTCCCAAGTTTATAAACACCCTTACATTTATGCAAGCTGCAAGTAACTACTGTTATTTAAATGTGAATGGTATTTTAGATAGCCACCCTAAGCATCCAACTTACCGAAGCAAAGAAGAAGGCAGAAGACGAAGCTGAGCAGGCCTCTATATTAGAAGAAAGCAAGAAGAAACTCGCTAAAGATTTAGAAGCTCTTCAGAGGCAAGTCGAAGAATTGACCGCTGCGAACGACAAACTTGAGAGAAGCAAGAAGAAAATCGCAGCTGAATTGGAGGATGCCAACATCGACCTTGAGACTCAGAGGCAGAAGGTTTCCGAACTTGAAAAGAAACAAAAGAACTTTGACAAGATCCTAGCAGAAGAGAAAGCGGTTAGCGAACAGTTGGCCGCAGAAAAAGATGCAGCGGAAAAAGAGGCCCGTGACAAAGAAACTTTAGTATTATCTGTAAAACGTGAATTGGATGAGTCCAACGTTAAAATTGAAGAGCTGGAACGTGTACGAAGACAGTTGCAAGCCGAACTAGACGAACTAGTGAATAATCAAGGCACGGCCGATAAAAACGTTCACGAACTGGAAAAAGCCAAGAGATCATTAGAAAGTCAATTGGCTGAACTCAGAGCCCAGAACGAAGAACTTGAGGATGAGCTTCAGCTCACCGAAGATGCCAAACTTAGGTTAGAAGTCAACATGCAGGCCCTTAGGGCGCAATTCGAGAGAGACATTCAGGCTAAAGAGGAACAAGCTGAAGAAAAGCGTAGAGGCATTGTGAAGCAATTGAGAGACCTTGAAGCTGAGTTAGATGAAGAAAGGAAACAACGAGCCGCAGCCGTTAGTGGAAAGAAGAAGCTCGAAGGTATTAAATTATTTTTTGTTGTTTGTTTATGTTATATTAACATTTTCCTTTGCTTTTAGGTGATATCAAGGAACTAGAAAGCCAAATTGAATTACACTGCAAAGTGAAAGAAGATGCTCTGAAACAGTTGAAGAAGTCACAGCAGCAGTGCAAGGAAGCAATAAGGGACTCGGAAGAATGTCGGGCTGCTAGAGATGAATACGCAGCTTCATGCAAAGAAGCCGAAAGGAAAGTTAAGACCCTTGAAGCTGAAGTTCTTCAACTTACGGAAGATGTTTCTAGTGCGGAAAGAGCTAGGAGGGCAGCTGAAGCTGAACGGGATGAATTGCTAGAAGAGATAAACAGCAGCAATAATAAGGGTACGTTATTACACGAAATGTGAATGTGGTGTATTCTGAAAATTATTCTATTCTAGGAAGTTTATTAATCGACGAAAAACGACGATTGGAAGCTAGAATCGCAACTCTTGAAGAGGAGATCGAAGAGGAGCAAAGCAATAACGAAATTCTCCAGGATAGGACTAGAAAGGCTCAGCTTACTATAGAACAATTAACCGCGGAGTTATCGAGTGAAAGGTCGGCTTCTCAGAAACAAGAATCCCACAGGTTGCTGCTTGAAAGGCAGAACAAGGACCTGAAAGCAAAACTTGCCGAACTTGAAACCGCCCAAAGGACAAAGACTAAGGCGACGATAGCTGCACTTGAAAGCAAGATTTCTAACTTCGAGGAACAATTGGAGGTAAGTTATTTTTTTCTAATTTGTGGTTCAATTTTGATGTGATATATAAAAGCAATCGTGCAGAGGAGTATCACTATAAAAATTTAACTGTTTTCAAATATGAAACCATTTTTCTACTCAATACTTTAAAAAGTTAAAAGTACTTGAATATGTGGTTACGATGAATTTTGTAACTTTAAAACTTTCAGTGTCAGTGTGTTCCGAAAATGATCCTTCAAATCGTTCTCAAACAAACTTTTGTGGTTTATAAGTTCAGTAATTAGAAATCACACCGATTGTGTAATAATAATTACATGCCCTTAAAATTTGCCGAAAAAAATCGAACTACCCTCCATACTTTTGAAATTACTTTTTATATGTCTAGTGGATTAATAATATTTTGTGCTTCATCTTAGGTTGAGGCAAAAGAACGTCTCGTGCAACAGAAGACCAATAGGAAACTGGACAAGAAGATAAAGGAGCTGGTTATGCAGCTTGAAGACGAACGTCGTCACGCCGATCAGTATAAAGAGCAAGTCGAGAAGGGCAATACGAGGGTGAAGGCCCTCAAGCGTCAACTAGACGAAGCCGAGGAAGAGATCACCAGAGAAAAAGCACAAAAACGCAAGGCACAAAGGGAATGCGAGGATATGCTCGAGTCTCACGAGTCCATGACACGTGAGATCAATAACCTTAAGAGCAAATTGAGGTGAGTTTTTTAAATGATGGTGATGGCAATAATAAATAATGTTGACAACTTTTTGTAGCAAGACACATGGAAATTTGTTTTTGAAATTGCTTTTTAAAATAATTTTGGTTCATTATAAAAAATAATTTAAAAACATTGATTGTTAAATAATTTCAACTTTGTACCAATATATAAAAATTTGTTTTACTAAAAAGTTAAGATGGCTTTTTTTAAAGTATAAAACATTTTTGAAATTGGAATTCCCATTAGCCAAAAAAAATTAATTTCTTTTATGCAACTATGATTGTAAAATATATACAGAATGTATCAGAAATAGGTGCCAAAATTTTAACTACTACAACTACCTTATTATAAGCAACAATGTTGTCTATTTTTTTTTCAAAAGCGTATTAAGATATTTTTTAATTTAAAATTTTTATCTGTCACTGAAGCAAAATGTTTAGTCGAGTTAATAACAAACAAAAATGAGAAATAATTAATGTTATTTAAGCAAAAAATCTTAATATAGTGAATCAGTATATAAAATATTTGCGTAAGTCACATAAATATTTCTTTAATCAATTGGCATTTCATTAGTGTTATTTTATTGGTTCCAAAATATTGACAAAAGGTTTAATTTTCAAAACAATTTATTAGACAAGAGTTGCTTTTCATGAGTTTAATTGCATTGTTAAAATTTTACCACTTATATTTGGAACATCCTGTATGTATTATCCCAACATTTTTTTTGGTTGTTACCTGATAGACCTAGAAAAATAGCCCAAGTTGTTTTTGCCAATATTTAAATACTGAAGAATTAAAAAAATTGCAAGGTTTAAAAATTCAAGGCATGCGACATCAGTTGCTTTAATTGTAGCAACCAATGAAATAGAAAGCTTCATAAAATTCTAGTACCGCATTGTCTACTATTTTAACATCTTTTTGAAAACTATAAAGGTTTCTTTTTAGTGTCTGACGTTTTTGTAGTTTTATCAGTGGCAGCTCGTAACATTGAGAATAGGTACAGCGTATACATCGAATGACTAAAAAAAAAAAAACGCCGCTGGCAAAAATTTTTAAATTTTCAAGGTCAAGCAGCTTTAAATGAATCTGGAAGTTTTTAGTTGCATTTGCAATATTACCGAAAAATTGACTCGTGAAAAGGATTTTCATTTAGATTTTAAAAAAAATAGAAATATTAGTTCGACTTGTGGACTTCTGCGAACATTAACGCACATCGTACATGTTCCAAAGAAGCTTTGTGGTTAAGACAGCCAAAATTGTTAAATCCCTTCTTATTCAAGACGCCCGACTTTACACCCACAGTTAAATATAGAAAAGTTTTTTAAATGAACACTTCCACACAACCACTTATACTCCAAATACCATTCATTCCGAAACTTTCGAACGTACATGTTGTCTTTTGACTTTCCCTTTTTTCCATATCGAGTGACTAAGGCACAGGTCTCTCGCAATTTTAAAAATCCTTTTTGTCCTCAATTTTCCATCTGGAAAATGGCGTTTCCAATAAAATACATACTGGATCATAGGAAACATTTCTACAATGATTATACACAACAAATATTAACAAAGAACTGTTATAACCGTGCACTGCACAAAGGCAGGCGATGGGCAAGCACGATGCTGCTTCAATTTCTGCGTCACTCGTTCCCCCATGCCGTAGTTTAATAGCGTATTGGTCGCCTCATTGCCATGACAACCGCCGTAAACGAAAAGAAACAGAATACAGACTGATTTCAATCTACATCACTTGCGTATACTATACGTTGTATGGTCCGAGGTTGATAATCGTGCTCAACGAAGGCAATGTTTTTTTAGAAGGTGTTCACCGCGCAACTATTCTATTTATTTCTGCGTATTAAACAAACAAACGCAATACATTTTCAATATAAATGCCTAAATTATAAAATTTATATAAAATTAAAAATAATTTTAAATTGCACAACCAAACGGAAATTTTAGGTGAAGCGGTGTGTGACTTGTGTCACCTGATGAGCCGCCACTGAGTTTTATGATGTTTTTGAATTGTGTTGTAATAGTTGTACATTGTCAGTGGCGCGAAACATACGGGTAGACAAGGTAGACATTAAATTTTAAGTATTTCAAACACTTTTCGGTTACCAAAAAATTCCTAAAAAAGAAACTATTGGATTTTTTTCAGTATTATTAAATATGTGAATAAAAGAAATATGTAGGGTTTACCTGTTCCTTACACCATCCTATGTTCAAGAAATATAGGATCTTAAATATGTGCACTAAAAAATAATTTTATTAGATAGTTGTCAACGTTATTTATTAATTTTGTGGTGTTGGGATTCTTTATGGACACATGTTACTTTGCAGCCTTAAGTGATTGTATGGGATAAGATCTTCTGTGCTGAAGTAAATTTTGGTATGTGGTTAATAGCTGTGTGCTGCTGAAATTTGTATTTATGGTATTGGCTTTTAACATTTTTAATTGGCTGCGGATATGGTATATAATTTAAGTAATATTTTCTTTCACAAAATTATTTTGTTTCACAATAAATGATAAATACTAAATTGTAAAGAAATTTGAAAAAGTTACCTTTGTGCCACATATCTGGATGTACATTAAAAGTAATAATAAACACAAGTAAACTGAATAATTCATTGTTATTTTAAGCATATCTCAGATAACTTGCTTACCTGCTTTTACAACAAACGAACAAATCCAGACCAGTTTGCCAGAAACGATAAAGAAAATGTGGGGGGTTTCGTTTGAAATTAAGTAAGTTAGTATGTAATTGTGTTTTTTTTTAAGTTTTTGCAGAAAGACCCCCACCAGTAAATAATAAAATGCAGTGCCTCACAGTGTTAAACTTATAAAAAATAATCGCATTAATGATCTAAAGAATATCTAAATAGTACCGAGGTCTTCAATATGATATAGAGCCGTTTATGAGGGCAAAATTCTGCTACAATTTATTTAGATGTTCTCTAGGCCATGTAATGTAAAATGCATGTGAAATTAAAAAAGTTTGTGATTACTTAACACATATATTTTTCTTCCACCACATACTAATTATTTTAACTTATAAGAAGTTGTATATAAGTCTAATCTAACAGAAACAACTTGATAGCTATATTTTGTATTCTTTTAGTCTGAATATTTCACTTTATAGTCCAGTGCTTGTTATTGGACTAATTACAAATTAAAAAAAAATAAATGTAAGCGTGGTACGCTAAGGAACATACACTGAGTTACTAGAATTACTGTAATCCCATTACTTACAAGGAAGGTTATCGAAGTGTCAGTCACCGATTTCTATGAAATCTCGCTGTGTTGTAGAGGACAAAAAAATTCCAGGCCTTTTTTTTTTTTAAAGGGGTTAAAAGGCCCTTTTAAGTTTTCCCCCCAAAACTTGTTGTGTACTTTTTTTTTTTTTTTTGCCCTTTTGGATTTTTTTTTTTCTCTCTCCGCTATTTTATAACACAAAAACACAACACAAATTTTTTTATAGACGGAGATTTTTTTTGAAAACTGTTTTTTCTCTTTTTAATGTTTTTTTTGAGAGAAGAGAATATGTGTCTCATTTCATTGGATTCGATGACTGACACTTTGATAACCTTCCTTGTTAGTGATAATAATACAAGTTATAGATGTGAATTCGTATGGAAATACGAACATACAAAATCATTAAAATTCTTAATATGTATATTATTCGCATGCAACGTTCATTAAATTGAACACAAATTCTTGGTAAGACAGCATCATGATCAAAGTTGATGTAAAGTTTAAATTTTACAAAAACTTAGTTATGTGCATAATATTAATGAAAATAATAATCAGCTGGCCTATGTGAGGGGAAAACTCTTCAGCTGACCGTGAAACTCTCAAAAACGCACGGCCCGCTACCTGCTTGAATAAAAGTTAATGACCTCAGCTGAAGGCTATTCACCACGACACGTGCTCACCTGTAACTTGTTTTTATAACGCACATCTTCTATACCATCATTACAATCGATTTCGCGTTTGGTACCTAACCTATTAAAAACTTTTTTAATATGATTTTCATACCTGTTTATACGCGCAGCTGAAGCGTTTTCCACCGGCATTTTTTCAACTGAAAGTGATTATTTTTTCATTTATTGTTATAAACATGACATTTAAGAAACAACTAATTTTAACGCGAGCAGTAGATATGCTGTTTAAACAAAAACAGCCAACAAAAAATATTCAGACAATACTGGTGTTTTTTGTTGCACATCTACTGTTTTCACTCTCTGCACCAAATAGTTTTTGCCGAAAATGTGTAAATCTTTCTTTAAATCATATGCTTTTGAAACTTCTGGGCAATTTTTTAGAAATTGGCCCCTTTTATGCAATATTTAGCTTTCTTCCATTAAAAATAAATCTCCAAATTTATAATCACTATGTGTATTTGCTTATTCAAAATTCAGTGAACAAAAAAAATTGTATAACATTTAATAAATTCTTTGAATTTGAATTAGAAACAGTTTAAAAAAGGAATTGCAAGTTGAAAACTAAGTCTTTCATCATGCTCCTCAGATATTTTTCTTAAGCAAAATGAAGTTTAAAAGCAGAAACCAACAATCATGTTTCTTTTTATGTAAATTTATGAGTCGCCAAATTTTTAAATTAAGCTAACAAAATATTTTGCTTGCTCAGAATTTTTTTAATCCTTAGAAGAAGAAAGAAGAAAAAGACTAGAAGGATTTAAATGTGACATCAGAAGGACATAAAAACAATATATGTAAATAAAAGATAACAAAATGTGTTGAGTTATTTAATATTTTGTTATGTGAGCAAGTTTAAAGATCAAGACATTTTTTTTCCATGAACTATCCTGTATCATTTGAAATTAAAACTAGAATGGAACATTTAAAAATATGTATGTCTTCGTAAAAAAAGTTAGATAACATCTTTCTACTATATATCTATTTATAAAATTATTGTTAGCATGTTTGGATTCTCTCATGTTTGTGTTAAAAATTTAATATTACATTTAGACTACTTTTAATTTTTGCGATTTACCAGCATGCACCCTCTTTATATAGTAGTGATTCAACGGCATTGCTAAATCGCAAACATGAAAATGGTTAACATACAATTTTTAACATAAACAATGTTGAAATTGTTTTCCTTATAGAATTAAAAGTCATTAAAAAGTATATTTTTCTTCCTATGCTGATTAGTGGTTACTGTCTTATAAATTAATGTACATTAATTGTTCAAAAACTATTCTGTTTGTTCAGTTCTAATCTGGAACTGTAATTTATTCTGCAATTTACAGGCGAGGCACAATGGGTCTATCAACATCCCGTTTAAGTTCCACCAAACGTGGTTCTATCCAGACCAGTGGAAATGGATCTGGTGATGATTCAACCACACAAGACGAGGCCATGGATGGAGACGACGCTCCAAATTAAATATATTTATGCTTCACTTAACTATTACAACTTAATTTTATTAATTATAATTATTATTTGCGCATATTTACTATTATAGCAAAATTTCAAGTAAACCAAACTGCTTTTTTGTATATATTTGTGTCTAGTACTTAGCGGGTGTTTTACAGAAAATAGGCATTTCTTTTATTCCAAAAATAAAATTTGTATAAAAATTGTTTTGAATCGAAAGACAGTCTACAGGGTAGAGGATATTAATTGTTACTATTTTCTATTTTATAAACAAATATTTCTCTGTAAAACACTGATTTTGGTTATTTTGATAATAAATCTGCTTTTTCTTTTTTATATAAATAGTGTTAATTGTACTTTTTATGTTTTAATTCATTTCCATTTTATATATACGTTTATAACTGTGTTAAATTCGTTGGTAATCCTCCGATTGTGGCATTCCGCGTTTTTATCCATTTAGTTATGATTCTCTTAATCAAATGACAAGTATTTTGCGGAAAAGCTGCAATCACTAAATACATGTACCAGTTTTGCATTATCGTGTCAAGTATGATTTTTTTTTCAATATTGCTAATGAACACTAGTATAGAAGTAAATTAACCTTTTGATACAGAATATTTTGTAGAATATGTATTTTGTAAAGACATCTATTTTAAGCTAACATCATTTTGATATGCATGTTTTTGTATAAACAATTTCTTGCATTTTGTATATATTATATTGGGTTCAGGGCTCATTTAACTATTATGTAACAAGTTAAATAAAATTATTTAAGATACGACATACAGAATTTCAGTTTCAGTAATATATTCGATTCTAGGATTCTTCTACACTGATCTCCATTTAAAGTCATTTAATTTTATAATGATATCTTGCTTATGGGAGATCATATTATATAAGAAAAAATAAGGGATAACATTGTAAGTTTATCGATTTTGTAGCTTATGTCAAGGTGTTTTTTTAAAAATTATAATTAACTTTTATTGATTGTCTTATAAGAGCAATTGCATTATCGTTGCCAGATTGACACTTTTTCGTAATTTTACGTGTTCATGTAAAAAAAAATAACTTCTGATAAATGAGGGGACCAAATAATCGTACACCATTTTTTAAAAATACAGAATTTATTTTTTCGGGTTGAAAACATTGGTTGCCTTTGAAGTACTCTTCATTAATACTAATACATTGATTCAAACATTTTTTCTACTGCGCGAAACACCTTTCGTACATGTCTTTTCCAATACCTTGCAACACTGCTTTCGAGTTTCTTTTCACCTCCTGAATGTCTGCATAAAGTTTTTCCCTTTTAATCCTGGGAAATAAAAACACAACAGGGTGCCAGATCAGGTGAGTAGGGTGCGTGAGAAAATAGTGTTATATGGTTTTTACCAAAAAGTGAGGCACAGAGATGGCTGTGTGAGGTGGAGCAATGTCATGGTGGAAGAACCATTTTCAACTGAACATCTTGCGCAACCACCTCAAAACACTCAGCGAGAAGACTTGACTCACTGTTTGATGCTCAGGGACATACTAGGCCAACCAATAGAGATTTTTTGGCACATTTAAATATTACATCAAATTTCATGTATTACCTTTTGAAAAATACTTAGTTAATGAAAACCCAAGTGATTTCCCCACCAAAGTCGTGAACATTTTTTTTTAAACAAGAAAAACTGCAAAAAATTACATTTTAAATTTTTTTATATCGAAAAATAATGATGCAATCATTGTCTTACTCTCAATAGGACTTCTGTATAGAATAAAAAAACCTATAAAATGTTTTTTTGTGGAACCCGATTGGTTCATTTTTTGCTGAGAAAATCCAAAAAAACATCTAAAACAGACCTTTTTTCAAAAATTTGAAGCTGGAAAAACAATCTTGCGGAAAATGACATAATGATATGTAGTTTCATCGTACGCAAGATGGTTTCTGTCCGATGCATAGTTTTTGCACAATTGCACTATAAAGTGTCTTTTGCACAGCATGGTGATTTATAAAAAATGGTCCGATTTAAATTCTGAAAACGGCATCTGAAAGTAGAGACAAAATCTCCAATTTGTATATCTTCGGATTTTCGCCTGGGTGATGGGAAATATGCTAAAAATGCCCTTGAAAGTCACCTGAAATGATCAAAAGTACGCTCGAGCCAGAGTACTCCATTCGCTGCTTCCCCCACTACCGCGTGGAGCATACTTTCGATCATTTGTGCCATTATTCTGAAGCAATTATAGGTATCCTTGATCATTCAACGGTATATTTGTTTCAAACAGATATCATTTTCTTTAAAAAATTACACCTACATATTAATTTTTAATCTGTGCTATGCGTCCATTACACTATCCCTACAAACGATTACCATAAAAAAACAATCGAGCAATAATGACATATCTATCATCAGGAACTGTCATTTTATTTTTAACATTTGAAATATTAGTTTGTAAAAAAAATTGATGAATATTCCAGTCTTATCAAAAGAACAGTCTCCCATTGAACTGAGATTTTCGGTAAAATGATACACTATACCTATTTTCAACAAGTATACCTTTTTTATGTAGAATTATCCATGGAATCTAAAAATGAATCCCAAATGATTATTAGGTCATTGGCGTAGAAGTTGGGGTAAAAAAATCCTGCTTTACTACCCATTCCTACGCCACTGACCTGACAAACATTTGTAAAGAGCGACTCCAAAAACAGCCCGAAAATCGCCCATTTTGGCAAACTCGTAATTCGTTAAAAATTTTATGCGAAGTTATGGTATGTCATTAGAACGTGTTATTATGAAAGTTCCAAGATGAGTTCAGCTTTAGTTTTAGAGATATGAGTGATGCGTCATAAAACTCGTGATCTCATGTATCGAGCATATAACTTTAAACCTTTAGGATTCACTGTTTTTTAGATGGCCTATCATTAAAGTCAAGGTGGTTCCTTAGGTTTTTGGGGTTGCTGATTATGAATCTGAAGTCAGAATTTCAAAATTCGAGTGGCAGATCCAATATGGTGGACAAATTGAAATTGAACCGCGCGCCATTATTCGTAGCTAGATATTGGCCTCATTGATTTGGGATCGAGGGGGATTATTCCTTTTTATCCTGCCCCATCTCGTGTAGGCCTGGACAGCCTTCGTAGGTGGGCCCCATCCGTCGTCTATCCCGACCGCAAATGCGGCCGGTGTAGGCACTTTGTGGGACCTCCATTTGTCCTGACTGGGCCCTGCCGGCTAGAGCCCTTTCTTCTGGCGCTCTTCTTGCTTCGCCGGCTCGTCTGTGTAAACCCCGGGGGTGGTGTCGTGTTTATGTGTGGTATGGTTGGGTAGGGTAGTGCGGCTATGCAGCCTGGGATGCGCTTTGCTAAGGTGGCCCTAACGCTAGCACGGGAGGGCAGGGGTAAGGAGGGTGTGTATGTGTGTGTGTGTGTGTGTCGTTGTCTTCGTTTCTTGATCGTGGCGGTCTCTGAAACAGAAAAGGTTAGCGGGCAAGGGGGTGAAATTGAACCAAATTCTGCTGATTACGAATTCGAGATCAGATTTGCAAAATTCAAAATGGTGGATCCAAGCTAACGGGCAAAATTTTAAAAATCAATGCAATGCTATCAAGTTTTCATTGTTTTGGGTTATACTTCGTTCGTAAATTATTAATAGTTGATAAAGTCGGAATGTTGGCACTAAAAAACTTTTGAATTTTACAACCGAGACAAGTTATAGAAGAAAAGAAATGCTACTCGTCAAATGTTATTATAGCACTGATGAATATTTGAAAGACAATTTGTAATTATGTGTTGTGTATAAATACTAGTCTTGTGTTTGTCTCTGTACATTGACATGTCCTATACATTTTTATGTCTCAAAGGATTAATAAATATTATTATTATTATTATTATTAATACTATTATTATTATCACTCATATCTCCAAAACCAAAGCTGAAGTCATCTTGGAACTTTCTCAGTAACACGTTCTAATGATATACAATAACTTAGCACAAAATTTTTAACGAATTACGAGTTTGCCAAAATGGGCGATTTTTGGAGTCGCTCTTTTACAGTAAATTATACACATGTGCAAATGTTAACACCACACCAAATTTGAATCAATTTGTTATAAGCATAGCAAAGATTTCATAAATAATATGATTTTAACCGACCAATACGGCCCTGTACAGTGAAAACCGTGAGACTTAGACCCTTGCTTTGTAAAACAATTCTGAATTATTTATTGAGTTCTATTTGTGGTGTAAGTTTGATTCACTTGAACTGAAACACCCTATATAGGGTGATTCAGAATTTATCAAAAAAAAAAAAATTCTGGATGTACAGGGGACCCTTACAAATACAATTTTGTAAAGAAAAAATCAGAAAGGACAGTTCGAAAATGATTTAAAAATACACTTCTGCGCGGCACTGGAAACTGGTTCACTGTAAAACCTGACCTCATACAATGCATCAGGCATGGCGGTGATAAAAACGGACAAAAACTTTCGCAAGGAAAGAAATATTTAATAGAATTTTATAGCACCTATTTTATATCGGCAAATTCAACTGCCTTTGCCTTTATTAATTAATAAAATTAATTTGTGTTTTCAAATAATAAAATCATTCGACATATCCAACAATTGTTCAAAATTTTATCCACCAACGTGTAAACACATTTGTGTCCGTCTTACTCACTTTCTACGAACTAACACAAATGTTGTCTTGGTTCACCATAACACAAATGCTTCACCATAATACAAATGTTGTCTTGCTTTACCATAAATTAAAACGATATCCATCAACTCCGAGTTGCTATACACGCAAACCATTTTTAACACTAACTACTGAAAAACTGTTGTAAACACTATCGCAACCACGGATTTCAGTATTCGAAGTCGCTAATGCCACGTGGCTCTCCATGCGCATTGCAAATGACGCTAGAAGCTACAGTTGTCCAGCTATGTAGTGGTTGAATGTACTGCAACTTCAATAATTTTTTTCTCGGAAAGTATAAAGATTTTACAAACGATTTTTACGATATTGACTCCATTTCTCATGCCGCAGCTATTCCCAAATTTCTTTGGATAATGTTGTGAATCACCCTGTATAAAGTACAGAAAGAAAAGTGCAATTAAACAATACTTAGTAATAAAATAATTTTTAATGAATAATTCTTAAAAATACAAAAAAAAATACAAAATAATAAACATAAATACATGAATATAGAAAAAAATAGTACAAATACATATCTTCAAAAAAGTATAAGTAGAAGGTTAGAAATAACTTGAATGAACACATTCTTACTTTTCAATACATTGGATGTCTGGAACAAAATATTAATGATTTTTTTCTGTGTACAGATCGTATTTTTATTTACGAATAATATTCATCTCATTTAAAACACTTTACAAATCTGGATATCCAGGTAAGGGGAACTTTCCACTAAACTCTTCGATTTCATCTCTTAGATTAGCAATACTTTTAGCGAATTCCTCAACTTCATGAGCGGCTTTTTTGAAATCGACTAATTTTGGGCCAGATTTTGCGCTGATTTCCCTAGCCAGCTTCAAACCTCTATCGATGAAGTCGACAACCTTATCGATGTCTTCTTCTACCAACCCCCGTGTAGTTAACGCAGGTGTTCCTAAAACATTGATTGTTTTATTAGAAAAATCTAATGTACAAAATTTTGGCCACTTTTTTCCTTCGGGAAAAAGAGACTACTACTAACCTAATCTTATTCCTGAGGGATTTAAGGCACTCTTATCTCCAGGAACCGTATTCTTGTTACAAGCAATATTGATTTCCTCTAAAATAAATTCTCCCTTGGCTCCACTAAGTTTTGCCGAACGAAGATCGACTAGCAACATATGGACTTCCGTTCCTCCAGTAACCACTTTGTAACCTTTGTCTTGGAGACCGTCACTAAGTCTCTTAGCATTAGCAACAATTTGTTTCGCGTACGCAACAAATTCTGGAGTTTTTGTTTGTTTCATGCAAGTGGCAATGGCTGCGATGGCATGATTGTGTGGCCCACCTAAAAATTGTTGTCGACATTATAGGAATTAAAATCTTGACGCAAAATAAACAAACGTTAGAATTGAATTTAGGAGGGTCCAGTAAGCTAAAGAGAATTTTTAGTTTTTTCCTAGACAAAAACAATTTTTAGTAGAAAATTCTTGAACCCAGGGAAAATATTAATTTTTTTTCCAAAAATCAAAGTATGTACAGTGAAATTCCCCTTCACGGACACCCCTCTTATGCGGATACCTCCCTTGGATGGTCAGTTTCTCATGGTCCCGATCGACTCTCATATAATGCATCGTGTTAATTCTCTTGGACAGACATTCTCTTGAACGAACACGGACACAGGGAAATATTCTCTTAAACGGACAAAAAACTAAATAAAAAGGAAGCAGTTAAAAATTGCTTCCGTAAAGTAGAATTTAACCATGAAAATATGCAAAATGAAGATCAGTTAACTGAGGATATTACATCTGATCCAAAAAATAAGAATTTGTTGGAATTGACTGATAATGAAAACCTTAATGATTTTTTAAACCTAGATGAAAATTTGTATGTTGAAAATCCAGATTCAGGACTAGAAATTGAAAATCCAGTTGAAATATGAGAATTTTCCAAAGATTCTGATGTCGATGAGGTTCCAGTACCAACAGAGGCTAACACAAATTATGGTGAAGCTATTATCCTAACCGATCAGCTTAAACATTTTGCCGAAGATCAAGGAGATACAGAGTCTTTGGAGCTTCTTTCCAAAATAGAAATACGATTTCTGAACGCCATTTAAAGAAAAAGAGGAGACAAACAACAATACATATGTATTTTTGCGTCATTAAAGTGACATTTCGTTTAATTTTATGTATTACTATAATCTATTATATTTTGTAAGATAACAAATCCTTATTTTTTCCTTAAGTTTTAAGTTTTCTTTTTCATTTTAAAAACATTTGCATACATATACGTTTTAAATGTCCCAATTTCTTTAATTACGGTTTTCATAAAAAAACGATTTTTTCTTTCGTATTTCTTTTACGCGGACACCTCTCTTGAAGGAACACTTTCACTCAATCCCGTTGGTGTCCGCCCAAGGAAGATTTCACTGTATATGGAATCAAAATAAAAATATTGAAGGATACATATTTATAAATAATATAATTGCTTTCCAGGAACATTGAACTTTATAAATTGCCCAGGAAAAATTTTATTGTGAAAAAAATTGTTAAAAATTCTTGAACTATTTAGTAAAATTTCCAAAAAAATTACAGAATGAAAATAAAAAAGTAGAAGGATACACATTTGGACGCACATTACATTATGGTAATGTCAGTTTTTCTCTTATTCTATAGATCGGCAGGAAATAAAAAAAAAAAAAATACAAAATAAAATTTTCAGTCGATAGTTGTAAACAAGTTAACCCTTTCACTGCTTCAGACATATTTATTCGCTAAAAATGTATAGGACTCAAACTGCTCCAGACGAATTAATTCGTTTGAACAGTTAAATTGGATCAGGCTGCTCAAACCGTATATATTCGCAACCATGCGCATTAGTGACTCGGTTGTTGCAATTGGTATGGGGAATTTTTTCGGGCGGGGCTTATAGCGATTGTGACAAATATTTTTATGGAAGTAATAATGCCAAGATTGTTCATCTCTCTTTGAGTTTCTATTTAGTACAGTCGTCGATATACTGTATTTTATTTAAAATAAAATCGTAAAATTTATCGTAAATCATAATTTAACACAACATAATGTAAAACTATAAGTGGTCTAACTGCTCCAGATGTATATATTCGTACGCGATAAATTTTTGTGCACGATGCGGTAGCTACGTTCAGATATATTGCGCAGCGAACGGGTTAAACAAGTAAATAATTGGTTTCGGAGGACATAATGCTCAGTAACTTGCATGCGAGGAATTCGAATTTAGTCTAGACTGCCTCTAGAAACACAATTTTAAAAAAAGTGTCAGCACATTCCTCTCCCTCAAAGAACAACAGAAAATAGATTTTCGAAATGAATTTGAAAGCCATGTTTTCATGTTGGTGAACAGAAAGAAGTCAAGGGAGCTGGATCGGGCGAGTACGGTGGATACCGCAGAAATTTGTGGCACAGTTCGTGCAATTTGACAATGACAATTCCAGATGAATGTGCTGGTGTGTTATCGTTATGAAACAGCAACTTTTTCTTAGCCAAATGGAGTCGTGTCTTCTTCAGTTTTTCATGGAATTGGTCCAATAATTCACTGTAGTACTGTCCCGTGATTTCTTCCTTTCTACAAAAAGTCCATGAGAATTACTCCCTTCGAATCTCAAAAAATTGTGTTTATGCCCCTTCGGAGCAGATTCACCCAGAAAAATCCATTGTTTCGACTGTCGCTCGGTCTCTGCCATATAATAACGTATCGAGGTTTCATCAATGGCGACGACTCGACACAAAAACTCCTACAAATTGCGCTTAAAGAGGCCCAAACACTGCTTTGACATTGACAGTCATATCCTACCCCATTAGGCTGACACCTTTTTCACAATTATCATGTAAAATATCCATCGCTGTTCCATACGATACTCCTATGGCCTCTGCTACTTCGTACACTAGTTTGACGATCAGTGAGGATCATGTCGTGGACCTTTTCAATGATTTCTTTGGTAATCACATCTGCCGGAGTGACCTGGCCACTCAACAAAAACAGATGTACGACCACGTTTAAATTCGTTGAATCAATATCTCACGGTTGTCATAGATGATGAAGAGTCTCTATAGACAGCATCCAACTTCGCTATTATTTCTTCATGTTTTTCCATCCAAAAATAAAAAGCGAATACGCTTTTCCGTAATAATGGATCGATATTGGTCTTTTTCCATTTTATCCAGAAACACGAAACACGTGTGATACCTGATAATTGGCTGCCAAATAAAAACTAATCAAATCAGTTTGGAATTTAGTACGTTGTCGTTTGATAGATGGCAGTACACGATGGTAATGTCAACTTCGCTCAGCAACACCACCTGTCTTCAAACACATATTGATCAACTATCGTAATCATGTTAGTTAGTTCTCATGAATGTAAAAAGTATTATTTAGTAAATGTATATACACATAATTATTATAGTAGCATCTGCACCTGAAATTGACTCCCTTTAAACTTACTTTTGGATGTGCTACTGGTACACAGATCTAATACCCTCCCTTAGTAGTATAAAATTAGTTTTCTTTAGTTTTAATTATTGTAAATTGTCCGCCATAACTGAATACTTAAATAAATAAATTTCCTATTTAGTACGTCGGTAGAAGTTACTGGACACCAGCAGACCTACCAAAAATTAGTAGAAATGGCAACAATGACTAATAAACTCCGACTTATCATCTAAATTAACTAGAAGCCAAAAAACAATGCCTAAAAATAATAAAGCATTAAAAACATGATATTGTACCTTGCAATCCAGGAAATACTGCTTGGTTGATCCTATTCTCTAAATCGTATAAGATTTTTTCGCCTTTAGGAGTAACCGACCTTACCCCTTTCCTGAAAAATATAACGCCTGCCCTGGGACCCCTCAGACTTTTATGCGTTGTGGTAGATACTACATCGCTATATTCAAATGGACTGGGGGTTACACCTAAAAAGGGCAATCATATAATCAGTCATTAATTAGTCCTGCTAACTGATGAATTCAATGAAAAATAATATTCTATACCCCAGTGCCAAAATAGTAGGCAGTAATAGTCATCATAAATAAATCAAATCACATCTGATAAAATAATTTTGCCTGCATGGTTTCAACGTGCTCTTTATTTCGGATTCTTTTCCAAAAATATGCAGCTTATGCTCGTGCATTTGGAAAGTTCTATTGTTACAAGAGTCTATTTCTTATCGTGTACAAAAAAGAGAGATGACTGATGTGCATAGTTTAACTTTTTGAAACCTGGTTGTGTTTTATATTTTTGGTATTCAAAATCGACACGGCCTATTTGATAAGTGCAGTCGTAAATGTAACAATGTGTGAATGTTAGGCATCGCAGTGACTGATGAGAAATATAGAGTTCTTACCAAAAGTGTCCGTTAGAAGTGTTTATAATAATAACTGTAACTGTCACTAATAAGTTACAAAGTGGTGAGGGTGGAAAAAAACTAAATATGTGGCAGAAAAAAATTGAAATTGGAAAAAACTTCCAACATTAAAGCAATCTCAAAAAAAGATTTACCTAAATTGCTCAGTTTTACTACGTACTATGTAAGAAATTATTTTCATTATTAAAAAAGAAAGTAGGTATGCTAATAGAAAAAAAAAAACTGTAGTATGGCTAAGAGAGTATTTAGAAAAAATACAGACTCTTCATAAATGATTATAAGCCATGTGACTAAGTAATTTTGTTTAGAACAGGAATTTTATTTCCTTCGTGTTGACAATTCAATTTTGGTAAAATTAAAAATTATTAAAACACAAAAGTCCATTTCACGGGCTGGTGATTGGCGTAATTTTTCATGAGATTTTATTCAACCAACCAGCGATCAGGTTATCTCGAGTGTAGACATAACGATTTGTCATTGATCATTGTAAGTGAATCATTAATATTGGTGATGCGAGAATTTAGAAATTTTCAGTTAACAATACCATCCGTGCAATGTTGGGTTGCCTCAGCTCTGCAGTCACGCGGATTGTAATCATTTATGAAGTCTCTGTATTCTGTATTAGTCTTGCACATCGAAAATGAAAATTCATTATTTCGATGAGCCATGGATAAATAAAGAAAATGAAGGTTTCCAAGGTTTAGTAGATGAGATGCATTTTTAGAAGAATTCTCTACAGAATTAAAGGCATTCTCTTGGAAAGGATGTCAATTAACAATAGACCTTTTTAGTAGTGACGTCACATACGCCAAATAATAGGCAACCCCACAGTGCACATTGTCATGAAGAATTTCTCAATATTTTTATTAGATCGATTTTCGACCTTATGTACTTTGGACATAAGTGCCAAAAAAAATGGCTTCTTTGTCATGACCTTAAATATCGCGATATTCTGGCAATATTAGAAATATTTAAATTTATAGAACAATATTGACTTTTATAGTAATTAATAAGTAAAAAATTATTTCAATGTTACTGAGCATGCGCATTAAAGATGATTTCATGTAAGCGAAGTAGCCCCACAACAGGATATCATTCAAGAAAAGTTTGGTTGTGGTTAAGAGTACGTCTATAATAAACCACTTGAAGAAAAAAACGCTCGATAAACACACTGACACAGTGCAACACCAGAAAAATAATAAAAATACTTAGTAGAACTAGAAAATGCCAAGATTAAACAAAACAAGAGAAAATATTAGTGATAACATATCAAGATCTCACCCATGTATGAGAGCTATTCTTTCCAAGCATGCCCATTAGAAATAACACCGCTAATGTTAAATTTTTACTTAATTTAAATTTAGTAATATTCTTTTATATAGTACACAAGGGTCAAGGGTCTGAACAATAAAGCGGCCAACAGTCCTGGATTCTGTGGGACAGTCCCATAATAATAATGGTTATCCCGTATTATAACATTTACTAAAACAGTCCCGCAGAATGTCTAATGCGTCCCGAAAGTCCCACATTCTCGGAGTAGGTACTAGCATATTGACCATATTGTACTGTAAGGCAGCAGAAATCAATTACCGAGAAGTCAAGTCAAGAAGAAGAAGAGATCAGAGACATCTCTAAAAGTAGAAACGTTGAGCGCAATGCTTTCATTTAAATTTAATATGGGAAATTGTGAAAATTTTTATATTCTGAAGCAAAACTCGGATTTAGCAAAAAAATGTCAATAGTGAAAAATATGATTTTAAAAATAATTAATTTTAATGCAATTACAGGGTTCGTAGCGGCTGGGAAATCCGGGAAAAGTCAGGGAATTTGTTATTCTTCATAGGAAATAGGGAATAGTCAATGAATTTTAAAAATATTCATGAGTCATGGAATTTGATGTTTGCAACTGGAAATTTTGTGAAAGCCGGCCCTGGGTTCTTGAAAGAGAAACCTATTTGTGGTTTTGAAACCTTTATAAGAGGTCGTTAGGATATAAAAAAGATTATGGAGTCCAATCGAGAAAAAATTTAATTAATGCACCAATTAGTATGTAAAAATGAACTACAAGTGACTTGGATTTTTTTTATAAGTCAAGGAAAACCCATGTAAGGTGTAGGTAGGTAGGTATGCTCCGCATTGACTGTTTAAAAAGTTGTCCACCTTACTGTACAATTTCAACCATGACAATTTGTTGCGGGTTGCCTAAATATACAATACGTCACACTAAAAGAGTCTATTACAGGTATTGGAATTAGATTGGAAGTGAATGTGGATTTTTTTATAATGTGTTCAATTTCTGACAAACAAACGATTTCCATTAGGACATGAACACTAAGAAATGGGCATATATTTGTTTAAATGTCTAGAAATAACATATAACCTTGTAGTGAAAATATTAGGAATCTATTAATGGTTATTAATTGGAGGGCTCAGAAGCCAAGCAGTGTAAGTCACTTCTCTGGAAATTGAGTTACCTATTGAAGATTTCTTCTTAAAGTTGAAATGTATGAATGTATGAAATGTTACCTATATCTCAATAAAAATAATTATTAGATTAAAAGATATGCACGGATTATGAGTCACTGTCCACTATTTCAGCATTGGAGCATATATGTACTTATTTTTACCTGCAGCTACCAGCCCAGATATATGCGCCATATCCGAAAACAAATACGCCCCTACTTCATCGCATATTTCACGGAACCGCTTATAATCTAATGGTCTGGAATAACAACTGACACCGGCAATTATGACCCTTGGTTTGAAAAGCCTAGCACTTATTAAGAGCTGATCATAATCAATCAAACCAGTTGCAGGGTCAACCTAGGAATAAATTATTAATTTAGTCACACATTATCAGTAAATTACTTACTTTATAAGGCATAGATTCGAAGAAGAGTGAAGTTGCAGAGATTTTCTTGGACGGGGTAAAGAAACCGTGAGTTAAATGTCCCCCATCGGGAAGGTCAAGTCCCATAATACGTCCGTGAGGTTCAGTAATACCTAATATCAATTTTCAAATTATGTAAATTTAATTAAATTTATAAAAAAAATATTTATGAATGAATTTATTTATTACCTGTATATACAGCAAAATTTGCTGGTGATCCGGAATAAGGTTGTACATTCACACCCCACTTTTCAGAGTCTAAATTGTAAGCTTCTAGTGCTCTTTTTTGTGCTAAGATCTCAATCTGGTCGATATACTCGTTACCTCCATAGTACCTAAAAGTGTGATCCATTTAAGAAGGAAACAGTTGCCACGTTCCCGGTTTAGGCTTTTTTTATATTTCAAAGAAATTGTCTATATAGTTGGTGTATTTACTAATTCACATCCTTCCGGTGAACATTTTGACGTCCAAACTTATTGATTAATTTTAAACATAACTAACTTTGCTTCATGTGGAAATTGCATTTTATGTCAATGAAAATTTGACTAAACTGTCAAGACTTTGGACTAAAAGCCAGGTACATTTTACGAATGCGAAAATATTTGTGCAAATAGAGTATTTGTACAATAGTATATTAAACAACAAGGTTTGAAAACGACTCTTTGCACACGAGTGAGACATATAGGCGAGGTCCACAAGTCGAGCAAGTGTGCAAAGAGGTTTTCAAACAAGTTTTTTACAATACTTTTTATACGACTGCAAACAGAGACCACAAAAATCAAATTTTAATTTAAATCGTTTTTATTACTAAAATTGCCAACGCATTAACAAAATAAATTAAATACAACGTTTAATTTAACTCGTTTTTATTAAGAAAATTGCTAACGCATTAACAAAAGAAACTAATATTTAATATTTATGGTAACATTTGAACATTCCTTCAAGGTTATGCTGGGAAAAGCAGCACCTTGTTTTCGGTAATAGAGAATATTTTTAATGTCGTGTTTTTAGTGCAGTTTTTCAGCGTGCGGTTGTTGTTTATACGTTTAATATATCGTAAAAACGATATATTAAAGAAAAAATTTAAAGAATATATACTAAATTTTATTCTTTGTAATTCTGTACTGTCCTGCTCCTGCATCATAAATTATATCAAATATATTAATACAATAAATCCCTCGACAAATCCTTATTCATTTCAAAATTAAAAACTAAAAAAAATTGTATGTAACAAATAACAATAAAAAAATTAAAGTACTTTATCCACCCTTGCTGTTAAACTATTATTTTATCAACCCTTGAAGTTCAAATGCTACTTGATCTTTGATGTAAGTTGTATAAAGTACATTTTAGCATTTGCTATTATAGAAAAAATTAATTTTGCAATATGCCTAATATTTTATATTGACGTGATGCTAAGAATTATTGAATACTGAATTTATCAGTGTAAATAATATTGACGTCAGAAATTCTAACATTTTCAAGCCAAAGAATAATTTCAAATAATACTGTATCAGTATACAGATATCATGTATTAATGTAGTTGAAATTTAGAATTTGCTGGAGCTAAATCTAAAAAGTTTCTATTCTATGTATGTACATCATATATTTCAACATTTCCTTGATAAGCTTTGTTTAAAAAACAAGTCATATCAACATGTCAATAAAATTATGAAATGTAGTATACAAGGCAAGTAGTTCTTATATTGAAATAAGAATATGGATTTGCGACTATTTTACTTTTTTTGTTCTTTCTGTTCATCCCAGTTTACCCTTCACATTGAAATATATTCCCTTTTATGTACAATAATATTAGTAAAAAATAACATACTTATTACCTACAAAATTACACAAGCGATTCTCTGACTAAAAATGAGAAAAAAAGTCTAATGAAGAGCTGCTTTGTTTTTTAAATACAACAGAATTGAAAGCTTTATTTTTTAAGTATTCTCACTATTCATTTTACATGTTTCCTAGCAGATTGAATGATACCAATGATTTAGTTAATGGTTGAACCCGCATATTTTATAGTTTTACTTAAATTAGCCAAGAAATCACATTAAAACTGTGATATATTGATGAGTAAAACAGAAAAGATCTCTTTTCTGTTAGTTTTCACAAAAAAAATTAAAGGGACTAGAAAGGTTGTCCTAAAAAATGATCAACTTGTAGATTACCTGGCAAGATAATTTATACATATTCAAAACAATGCTGAATGTTCAGAATTTGATGTGATTATATTAAAAAATATGTCAATGAAAATAACTAGCCTTGTACTCCAAAAATTTAGTGTTTATGGACCAATCTTCATACAAACTTTTCTTACTTATTTTTTAATCTAGAATTTGGTAATGAAGTTTAGCAAGCTAACTAACTATGGGACATCTGATTTGGTGACGTTTTCGTGAGATGATGGAATTTTTGGGATACATTTTATTTGGCAATGTTGTATATTTGTAAAGCAACATGTATATTATAAATAGCATACCTTTGTCCTGGTAATCCTTCCGAATACTTATTGTGCAGACACGAACCTAAACACTGCAGAACAGAAAAAGTTGTAAAATTTTCTGAGGCTATCAGTTCCAATCCAACTCGCTGCCTGTGTTTTTCTTTTTTAATGAGGTCCCACAATTCAGGATCAGAATCCTGAAGATTTGCATTAAGAACTTTAGCAATGTTATCGATATTATTACTCATCTTTCTTGAATGTAATGCAACTGATCTCTGAAAAAGTTGAAATAAATTTTTACTTAGTTTAGATTTTAGAAAGCATAAACTATTCATTTTTTGTTTATTTTTTTTAACTTGTTTCAAAGATGAATGAATATGTAGGTTAATTTTTACTAACCTTAAAAAAAAAACTAACTGAGAAATGAGAAATAGTTACTCTGGTTAAAGCATTTAATGATAATACAAAGCAGCTGACAAACCTCTTTATACTATTATTTTTAATAATACAAATCAGTTAATATAACAAATATCGATAACTTTATCTTGGTTCAACAAATTGGTAAATTACCAGATAGGTCACAGTTGCAAAGGTTAACTTATTACTTAACTTTCTACAGTAATAAATACATTTTGTAATAAGTTAAAACAACATACTTAAATACATTTATTTCAATAAATAATAAATTAATAATGTTCTCTTACCTTCGGCATCAACAGGTGGTTACACGTGCGATAAACGCGGGAAAACATGTCAAAATTCAAAATGTAAATTAGGACACGGATACAACATGCATTTTTTCTTATACGACGAATTTAAAATGTTATTCAAGAGAAAGACGTGATGACTGATGACCCCTCGATAACTTTTTGCGTCATCAGTGAAGAAACTGATAGAGGACTATAGTAAATAAATATAAGAATTTCGCATTGCAGGGGGTAAATGTGTAATTGATAAATTTTGTAATAGTAAGTGGAAAATTATCGTATTTTTTATGAGGTCTTATAAGGTCAAAAATATAAGGTTTAATCATTTTTGATTCTGTTTAGCGTCTACAATCGTCCAAGCAAATATACCTATATTCTCAGTATGCATAGAATTAGTTTTTTCCCAAAAAGGGATGGTAGATGTGTTTTTGCGATATCTTAAAAGAATTTTGAGATATATTATTTACTTTATTTTAAATTTAGGACATCAGAACACTAATTTACATGTTGCGTAACACATTGTTTTAGAGGACTTTTTTGTTATTTTTACTCCGTTTTAAAACTGATTTGAAAAGTATTGATTAAAATATTAGTGAGAAAAAAAAATTTTTTAATAATTATTTTTGAAAAATTCCAGTTATATATATGGGGTGTGCAACTGTAAAATTTCATAACATCTTTATTTGCACACAAAGCATGTCTGGGAGTCTGGGGGATGGGTAAAACAGCTCTCAGAAAACACAAAAAAATATTGGTGTTGAAAAATAGCCTTCTACTATTCAGCATTCAGCCATGCTTGATTGTGAAAATCTGTCATTATTTCAAATCCGTATAGTACCTTCCATCTCAGATGGTAGATATGACGATGATATATTATAAAATACTAGAAAAATTTCTTAGAATGAAAAACTAAACACTGATGAAACTGGTATGCAAAATTTCTTCTTTGATTTTTTGATTGATTTCAGAATCTCGTGAGTAAATAAGCGCTCTTTCTGTATAAGATATACAACAAAATGTCAATAAGAAAAGTTTATCACAATGAGAAACTGAGTATGCATATAAAATTTTATTATCATATATATGCTTAATTTGAAAAAAATAAAATCAAGCAAAATATCAAAGTAGACAACTGAGCAATTAAAATTTTGTACATATATTCAGTTACTTAGGTATTATAAGAAACTTTTAATATTTTGTCGTATCTCATACAAACAGGGCATTTTACTAGCAAAAAAGCTGAAAGGGAGTAATTAAATCAAATTAGCTGTAAGACACTGATGAAAGTTGCATTCTTATCGTTTTTCATTTTGAGAAGCTTATTTAGTACTATTTTGCTGCATCTCATAGATTCTTCAAAATTTATCTCATAGATTCATCAAAATTTACAACTTACAGGATTTTTATTTCACAAACAAGAGGGGGTGAACCTCAGGCTATCTCTCGACACCAACATTTTTTTATCTATTATAAGATTGTAGAGGATGTTAATAAATCTGTGTAAATGATTGACGACAGGCCCTAAGAGTACATTTAAAAAATAAATAAGTCATCTACAGAGATTTATTTGTTTTTAAAATATTGCAAAAAACACAACACGCACATTTAAACCTTTCAATACGGGAAGGTGATATATATATATATATAGACATATTACGCATCATTACGAAGCCGAAAAAGACAGATTCATCCGATATTATGAAGCCCACTAGGTTAATACGAAGCCCTCCTTCGGGCTTCGTAAAGATAACCGTGTATAAAGTCAGAAATAGCTATTATATGATTATAGGGACCTGTAACAAATTTTTAGGTAAGGCTTCGAATTGGCGCATTTTATGGCAAAATACACGCGCCATAGTTCACCATACTGATCTGCAGAGGGCGCGTCAGTCAATCTGTATATATTACATACATATAAAATAGATCCAGCGCATTTTACGAGCCAAATCGGAATACGAGTGATTATACGAGTCCCTATTGAGTTGGCAACAGTGTACGAGATTTAAATCATTTTCCGTTGATTTTATTCATTCTTTTCGTCTATGCGATCTGTAGTCTATGAGAGGCCCGTTTCCCTAGTTATTAGATATTAGTATTTTTGTGAAAGATGTAGTAAGTATAAGGTCCAAAAAAGAAAAAGAACTAGTTAACAACTATTTTCATCGGCACATAAAATCGAAACCAGCGCCTCGGAAACATGAATGTGATGAATTCTTAACCAAGTATAAAAATGACTTCTTAGATAAAGATTGGGTAAAAATAAAAACAATGGTTTACAATATTTTCAGGCAAAAATAGTTATGTAATAACGAATTTTTAATAAAAGCAATAAAAACAACTTGTACTTTAAAATTCATAAAAATACCTATTTATACATTTCCCTCTTCTTCAAGTGCAAATATAATTAAAGCATAAAACAATGTATAATATGCATAATTAAACAACTCTGTTTTTTTATAAATGTAAAAATACACTGTGTCCGCGGATGGATTCCCATGAGGGAAAAAATCTTTATTATTATTTTTACGACCAAGTCATTATAAAAAGTTCTGCTTGTTGAGAAAATTAATTCACAATAAAAATTTTTAGATTATATGTACAGGGGTAAATAAATTAGGAAAACATGAAAATGATTCAGGAGAGAAGTACAATTATTGTTTATTACTTTTAACAAATATTTTATAAAACAAAGTTGTTTATGAACTAACATAATGACTAAATACCAATTTCTAAATAAAAATTCGAATGTTTAAAAATTAATAATAGTTTTTATGCAATTATTTGGATTTTACAAAAAAATCAAACATCTTATTTACATCTGTCAGTATTCTGATTTTGTAACATAAACGTAGGTATACAATAAAATCAGCTAAGTATCTTAATTTTTTTGTAAAATGCAAATAATTATATAAAAACCTTTAATATTTAAATATTCGAATTTTTATTTAGAATTTTGTATTTAGTCTTNTTGGCTACGGAAACCTATCTGGCCCCTAGCCCCTAGACTAATACGAGTGTAGTAGCAAAAAGTTGTCGGTCTTTTATCAAAGGAAAATCGTATCAACAAATTTAATTTAAAATCTAAAATACGGGCTATGTTTTCGTAGTAGCTGTAGTCGCCCAGGTGCATCGAGTGTACGAAGTGGTCGGTTATATGTCAAATACTAACCTGGCGAGCTTGAACCTGAACTTGGCAACGCTGTTCCTTTAGCCGACAACTGTTCGTGACATTACTTTACAAAATTTTCCGAGCATCCGGACATCGGCCAGGGCCGCCCTCGTAGCGGGAGTTATGGGTTGATTTCCTTCATTTTTAAAAGTCGAGTAAAAAATTTTCTTTCCGATTTTCTGTCTTTATTAAGCCTTCCGAATACGTGGTTAAAATTAATGACATTATGACTGAATCACCCTGTATATATATATTTTTTTTGTCTATATATATATATATATATATATATACACAAATAAAAGACTGTGTGACCCATTTCAAACTGAGACACCCTCATAAAATTTTTATTTACAGGGTGATTTTGGACAACTTTTTTTTGAATTGTAGGAGGGCGAAAAGTGTACTTTAGAACCAAGTGTCATTATTTTTATACAAAAACCAAGGACTACCAGATCATTTATGGAAGGTCAAAATTGAAGAAACCATATTAGCAATTTTTTTAGAAAAAATCTAAATGCACCAGTGAATTAAGTGCCCCTTAAAATGGGCCCATACCAAATTTCATAAAAAATATTGCATATTAATAATTTTATGGCAAAATTAAAAATCACATTATGAATTTTTTTCATCTAACGAAGCAAGCCATGGAATAAAACGTCTTCTTATTGAATGGCCGCCAAGATCACCTGACATCCTTGAGTAAAAAGTGTATAAGTCAAGACCACAGTTGTTAGAAGAATTACGGGCTAGAATAACTGAAGCATGTGCAAATCTTATCCCAGAACAACTGAGAAAAGTAACAACAAACATAGGAAAAAGGTATGATAAGTGCCTGGATATAAATGGTGGATTGGTGGGAGTAACAAGAATTTAATTAATAATTCTTCTCTTCTGAAACTTCAATAATTTTGTTGAATATTGTTATGAATAAAAATAATTAGTCTTTTATTTTTGACATTGTATTCCATGGCTTGCTTCGTCAGACGAAAAAAATTCATAACAATGTGATTTTCAATTTTGCCATAGAATTATTAATATGCAATATTTTTTATGACATTTCTTATAGGCCTATTTTAAGGGGTGCTTAATCCAGTGGTGTACTTAGATTTTTTCTAAAAAAATCGCTAATATGGTTTCTTAAATTTTTACCATCCAAAAATGATCTAGTAGGTCTTGGTTTTTGTATAAAGAGGATGACACTTGGTCCTAAAGTACACTTTTCTCCCCTCTACAATTCAAAATAAAGTTGGTCAAAATCGCCCTGTAAATAAAAATTTTATGAGGGTGTCCCGGTTTCAAATGGTCACACTGTATAAAAATTTGTCATTTAGGTTGTAAATTATGCCTCATTTTGAGCCGTGCTTCTAAATATCACTTTAAGGCAGATCATTATTTAAGCCTTTACTATACCTTATACTTATTTTTGCCTTTATTTATAATTTATTTGATAAATACATAATTGTGCACCTTCATAGTTGAAGTATGTTTTAAAATATTCGAGAAAATATAATCAGTTTTTTTTACTGTTACAAAAATAAAAAACAGCTCCTGGATCTATAGATTTACTTCTACCGTTTTCTTACCTAATGCAAGAATTTTTATAATAAGTGTTCTTGCTGTATTATTTCATTGGAACACAAAATAATATATAAAAAAATAAGTCATTACGTTCAGCGGAGGCCTATGTAACCGCATAGCTTGCCTGCATCGGCACAGCAGGAAAATTACTTGAAAACTGGCGCCGCAGTGAAAGAGTTAAAGAAACATATGTAGCTTATCAACTTTCGAAAAAGAATCCCTGAAACTACTAGGAGACAATTTAGGATTATTCTATATACAATAGCCAATCAACGAAAATATGCAACCAATATTTGTAGATTATCACTAATACTAGGACTGAATTAAGTTTGAGGGATTTTTTTTGTAAATTCAAGGTTTTATTGCAAAAAATTGTGTACATTATTATTTTTGTAGTATTGTCCATGGCTTTCCCATCTTTCTGGCAGAACACAGACTCCACGTCAAAAGAACAACTCATCTTTTGATGCTATCCACAAATCGATCCAATTATTAATATCTTCGTAAGAATGGAAGCGCTGCTTAGCCAGGCCGTGTTCCATGGATCAAAATCAGTAGTAATCCGATGAAACATTATATGGTGAATATGGCATGTGAGGCAAAATATCCCATTTCAGCATTTCTAAGCATTTTTTGACTTCATAAGCAACATGTGGTCGCGGATTATCATTTGAAAAATTACTTTATCGTACCTTTCCTTGAATTGCAGCCATTTTTCCTTTTATACACAACTCGAACGCATCAATTATATTTAGTAGCATTCACCAGTGAACCGTGAATATTCGGTCTTGTCGTCGATGTTGATGCATGATCAGGCAAACCCCATGATTTTCTATGCTTAAGGTTATCATAGCACAGCGGTATTCAAACTGTACTCCGCGGATCCCTGGGGTTCCGCACAATCTCTCTGGTAGTTCCGCGACTCAGTCAAAAGTTTAAAATTTTATTATCAATAATTACAAAATTAAAAATTACTCTTAAACGAAATGTTATTAAAAGTACACACGTATAAGTTACTATAAGAGCTTTATCTATTTATGCAAGTGCAAGTAAATCGGTTTATAACTTATAAGCTGGCGTAGCGTTCTCCCCATTGGTCATGCCGCCTTTCCCTTGATTTTTGGCTAGAGATTTATATACAGAGTGTGCCATTTAACACTTCCGCTGACAATATCTCCGAAGTGAAGAAATTTATTTTAGTTTCCGAAATTGGGATTATTAGATCCCTTGAACAGCTTCAAATTGTAGTTAGAATTGTTAGTTCAAGTCTTTCTGTATAGATGGCGCGATACAAACAAATTTTTTGTTCCCTAGACCGTTGAAATACAGTTCATCTGAAAGATCGTTAAATTTTGAGTAATTTTTGTAATATAAAGTTTTCCCTTATATTTACTTGTTTTCAAGATATGTCGACTTCAATATGCAATGTACGATATAAGAAAATCTATTATTTTATTTAAATCATACCAAGATAAAATATTCTTTTAAAAGATCGTTGTAATGGCTTTATTCACATCACATACTAACTAACAAACAATAAATTATAAAAAAACAAATGATCAACTACAGAAAAAAAAAATGTACAATGGTAAATCTTATAAGGATCAGAGATGAACCGCATTTTATCAAATGTTATTAAAAAAAATAAAAAAATTTATCATAGGTGGCTCATGTCATTTGTTTAAAATAAAACAATGGCAGATGACACATATTAGTTTTCCAATAATTACAGTTTTATCAGTTCGCGTCTTTCAATTTATACTAGTTATACGATTTTTTTTCTGTAGTTGATCATTTGTCTTTTTATAAAATATTGTTTGTTAGTTGGTATGTGGTGTGAATAAAGTCATTATAACAATATTTCAAAAGAATATTTTGTCTCGGTGTGATTTAGATAAAATAATGGATTTTCCGGTTATAGCATACATTGCATATTGAATTCGACATATCTCGAAAATAAGTAAATATAGGGAAAAACTTTATATTACAAAAATTGCTCAAAATTTAACGGTCTTTCAGATGGACTGCATTTCCACATTTCAGGGATCAAAAAATTTTTCAGTATCGCCACGCCATCTATACAGAAAGATTTGAACTAACAGTTCTAACTCCAATTGGAAGTTATTCGAGGGACCTAACAACCCGTTTCCGGAACGAAAATAAATTTCTTCATTTCAAAGATTTTGGCAGCGGGAGTGTTAAATAGAACACCCTGTATATCCTGAAATTGCTGACCAGGCAATAAATGTATTAATGTCTTTTGCAACTACATACATGTGCGAAAAATAATTTTCCACGTACATAGCGACAAAAACAAAGTATCGCAATGCGCTTAATGCAGAATTTTGAAATGCGATTGGAACTTACGACAATAGCACCTGATTTTATCATATTATGTAAAAATAAAATATTCAAGCACATCCCAGTCTTTGATTATACTCTTTTTTTAATTACTTAATAAATATTTACTTTAATTTTTACTTAGTGGAATATTTATTTTGTTAATTGTAGTATTTATAAATATATTAAATTATCAGTAAAACATGTTCGAAAATTTTTTTAGGTGTGGTGGTTTCTCAAAAAAATCGAAGTGTTGGCGGGGTTTCAATTTGTATGGCGCCCAATTTCCTTGCTTTTGAATCATACTGAGTGCATTTAAACGTTTGGAAATTATTGTGGGATCAACATTCAACAATTCAGAAAGTTCTTGCATTTTACATGGTCCGAGTAATGTTCCCAGTTCCCCATTTTTTTCGGTTGCCAGGGCGTTCTTTGTCAGCTGTATCGAAATTATCACTTCTAAAACATCGAAACCAATACTCACGTTTCTATCGATGGAGTATATTCATTTTAAGTTTCCAACAGCAATCGATGACTTTCAGCAGCACTTTTCCTTGAGTAAAACTTCCCACAAATGGTGTTTTGTTGGCTCGTAATTCGACATCTTTGGAGTTGAGAAAAAATATGTTGCTTACACTTCAGCAAAATGATACATAATAAAAAGTAAAGCCTAATGACCGAACTTTGACATGAATATATTTACAGAAGTGTCTGATGTGACGCGATAAATTGTGCATAAATTGTGCCCTCTATTGTAAATCCCTCAAAATTAATTTCTCAAAAATTAACCAGCTAGAACACCTGATCTAGCTGTGCTAGATAATTTCTTAACGATATCTAAACAAATATAGAAGTTTGTATCACTACACTAGAACTGTGCTGAGAGTTGTGTTAATAAATAAAATTGTAAGGATTAAATAATCGATTAATTAATTTATCACCAAATTAGAAACCCACAGTACAAAAAATTTTAAATTATCTTATATCTTATCTTTATCACATCACAAAGAAAGCGAACAAAATATTATTTAATAAATAATACGTACCTATACAGATTGATTCATTAACAATGGGAAAATCGGAAGCTGAAGATACTACACGAGAAATGGTGACCATTGGCGCAAACATGCCTTATCCGAAAGTTGATAGTTTCGGAAATACAGGGTGTTGAAAGTTAAAATTTTAAATCGTTTTTTTGCGATTATTCTGAAAATATGTAGGTTAGGAACTTGTAAAACTATATTTTTTAGGCGATGAATAAGATGCGTGTTGCAATTTCAGCATTGCTCATAGAGGATGCCACTTACGATCAATTTTACCGAAAAGTTAGATAATAACTTTTTACTCTGTATGTCTAACATGAAATTTGATTCAAAACCTGAAAGAGCAATCATTTTTCCATTAATTATGTGTTCTTGTTTCATTTCGGTATCTCGATCCGTTTTCGAGAAAAATCGATTTAACGAACACTATGTTTTGATAATACAAGAAATTAAAAGCGAAACAAACCAAGTGTTTCTTCGTGTTATTACAACAATTAACAATAAAACAAATGAAATTCATAATAATGATTTAAAGTCAGTGTTCAAAGAATCCACCGTTGACATTTACACACTTTACACAACGTTTTCTGAGAGATCATTGAGTTTGAAACAACATATTGGGATTGCGTTTGACTTCGTTGGCAGCGATTTGTATTCTTTGCCACAACTCTTCACACGAGCCAATAGATTCTTTGTAAACTATATCTTTCATTCGAGACCAAATAGAAAAATCAAGAGGATTGAAGTCCGGACTTCTGGATGGCCAAGCAAAAATGCTTACATGGCCAATCCAGCGATTTGGAAAAACTGCATCTAAATATGCACGCACTGGCCAAGAAAAATGCGGTGGAGCTCCGTCGTGCATGAACCACATGTCTCTTCTTAAATAAAGTGGAACTTCTTCAAGCCGTGGAAGCATTTTTACTTGGCCACCCAGAAGTCCGGACTTCAATCCTCTTCATTTTTCTATTTGGAAGAATCTATTGGTTCGTGTGAAGAGTTGTGGCAAAGAATACAAATCGCTGCCAACGAAGTCAAACGCAATCCCAATATGTTGTTTCAAACTCGAAGATCTCTCAGAAAACGTTGTGTAAAGTGTGTAAATGTCAACGGTGGATTCTTCGAACACTAACTTTAAATCATTATTACGAATTTCATTTGTTTTATTGTTAATTGTTGTAATAACACGAAGAAACACTTGGTTTGTTTCGCTTTTAATTTCTCATATTATCAAAACATAGTGTTCGTTAAATCGAGTTTTCGGAAAACGGATCGAGATACCGAAATGAAACAAGAACACATAATTAATGGGAAAATGATTGCTCTTTCAGGTTTTGAGTCAAATTTCATGTTAGACATACAGAGTAAAAAGTTATTAATTAAATTTTCGGTAAAATTTGTCGTAAGTGGCGTCCTCTATGAGCAATGCTGAAATTGCAACACGCATCTTATTCGTCGCTTAAGAAAATATAGTTTCACAAATTTTCAAGTTCCTAACCTACATATTTTCAGAATAATCGCAAAAAAACGATTTAAAAATTTAACTTACAACACCCTGTATTTCCGAAACTATCAACTTTCGGATAAGACATGTTTGCGCCAATGGTCACCGTTTCACGTGTAGTATCTTCAGCTTTCGATTTTCCCATTGTTAATGAATCACCCTGTATAGCTATCAGAATATATTTTTATTCGCATATCTGTAACGAATTCATGGGGATGAAAAGAAAGAAAAAATACTCGTCAACATAATGTTTTATTTCAATGAGTGTATAAATAGCTGCTTACACAATTGATCCAACAAGAAAACGCAAAAATAATTTTTATATTATTTATTGCAATACTTTAAAATCTAAGCAGTATCTTTTAATTAATGAAATTACCAAATATACAGAGTGGGCAATAAATACAATCTTTAATTTAATATTTAATACAAAATTTTGTACAAGCAAAAGTAATATCTATAATATCCGGGACAAGAAAAAAGTAAAAACCTTAAAAAGTCACAGGGGAAAAAATACATCTAGGTATATTCTTTTTTTTATTAATAATTTATATTTATGGTGTTAGTATCCATAAAGTAAGTATAAAAAACAAACAAAAGAGCTTACTGTTTGTAACATAAATAAAATAAAAATTATTTAGGATAAAACTTGGATGCAAGAATCGTACATATATTTTCTTTTGCACGAAGCAACAAAAGTTGTAAAAATTCATATAACATAAACTACAAATGAAAAACACTTGGTTATTCAGAACTCTGTAAAGATTCATGGAAATTAATAAAAAAAATAATTAAATATGAATTCATTAAAATTGCAGCTAAGTATAATTGCTTTGGATTTAAAATATAATAAAAACATTTTATTATACACGTATGTTTAAATAGCTTGAAATTTAACAATTTTCTGAATAACCCCGTATACATAACAAGTGAACATTTTCGTGAATACACCCTAAACAGACAGATTTTTTTTTTCAAATACAATGTATGTACAAGTTGTTTTTGTTACACAGCAGAAGAGAATTGCCATTTTAGTAATTATAAAAAAAAACTGAATGACAAGCAGCGCTCACACCTTATAATTAATATAGTAACAAAGATGTACCTCCATTTACTAGGAATTAATGTACGTTGGCAATACTGCTGAAAGCCAAGCAGTGTACGATGATGTTTTAGAGTCAATTTGTCATCAGTCTCAGTTGTAGATTTTGATGGCCTTTTCTAAATAATTAAAACGGGACCGTTTTGGGGCTTTGTTAACGTGGTCTAATCCTAACCAAGGTTTTGGACTACCAGCTGAAATGGAAGAACCTCGATAATATGAAAATATTCAAGTTTCAAAACATTATTAACACAATATATCTAGTGCTCGTTTCTTGAGCTGCACCACTGTAATCTCTGTTATTTTAAGACACACAAGGTCTATCAAATTGGAAAAGGTAACAGAATTTGATAACAAATAAATTAAAAATTAGTTTTTTTGTTTCAAAGTTATTGAGAAAAATATAAAATTTTTATTTTAGTTTTGTGGGGAATTCAAATATGTACCTAATCATATTCAGGACATACACCAAGTTTTGATCAAAAAATTCCCTGATATTTCCAGGTTTTATAGGAATTTCTATTAGTCCATTGAAATGAAGGCTGAACCTCCATTTTTTCCTCTGTCGATCAAACCTGGGCGCAAATATGTATTCGACCCTCAGGAATCCGAATCCGCAAAAATTTTTGACCTAGGTGGTCAGGAAAGGGGTCAAAAGGTCAAAAAACCGTAAAAAATAAGGTTTTTCGCAAATATCTCGTAAACTACGGCAAGTAGCAAAAAAATAATTGCACCATCGTGTTCCCAGGGAAATTTTACATCGATTTTATGCTATTGCTTATTAAAATTAAATAAATTTATGTCATCTTTTGGACAATTACTAAGCACGAGAGGGGAAGTGTATATCTCCGGCGGTGGGGAGTAGTACAGCGCGCACCCTACATGTATCGGCTGACTCGCAGTCGACAGCTCTAGCAGGTGTGCCTGTTTGGAATATAATGCGATTTCAAATATAATTAGCCTGCAGTTGTAGTGGATTTTTTTTTGCTACTTTAATTTTTAAATGAAAAACCAAAAATATTACTAATGATTAATGAATGAACAGAAAAAAATTTTTAGAATGAAATACTTATTGCAAAAATGAAATATACAGGGTGTCCCGAAATTAGGGGGTAATATTTCTACAGGGTGTTCTGTGTCGAAAAAGATTACTTTTTCTTTATATAAACGTGGGTCCAAAAATTCTTCCTAAATTTACCATAACTTTTTTGTGCGTTGACTTTTTTTAACTTTTGAAAAGTATGAAATTTCATGATTTTTTATTAAAAAAAGGTACTCTTGGTTCATATTGGTAGAATGTTCCATTTTTGTGTAAAATCCGTTTAAAAATAATGTTATATGTGTTAATCATCGGGAATTGAAATTGTCAATATCGCAGATTTTGAATAACAAATATGCGTTTGACGTTATTTGCATTGACAGTTCAGTTATTTAGTTTTTGTGAATTGTTATCTTCATAAAAATTCTCGAATCTTTAGTAAATGATTATTTGACAAAGAAAAAAAAAACAAATTATTTGCAGCCAAATAAATGAATCCTCTGTTGTAATTCTTCCAAATGATTTATTTCTGTAGCATAAACTACAGCCTTCAACCTACCCCACAGAAAGTAATCTAGAGGATATAGGTCTAGAGACCGAGGTGGCCATGGAATGGGACCATCTCTACCTATCCACTTGAAAGGAAAATTACCGTTTAACCAATTTATGACATTATGGGTAAAGAGAGGTTGTTGATAGTGTAATGTTAAGCGTACTTTTAACGGTGTATCATCCAATAGTTCTCTTACATCATTTTGCAGAAAGTTTAAGTATCCTTCTGTATTCAGACAAACGGGAAACTGGATTGGTCCAAGTAGCTAGGTCCCCTAAAATTCCTGTTCACAAATTTATTGCAAATCTATTTTGAAAATTTGTGCGCTGTATTGCCTGTATTTAATGGATTTTATACAAAAATGGAACATTCTACCAATATGAAACAAGAGTACCTTTTTTTACTAAAAAACTGAAATTTCATACTTTTCAGTCAAAAGTCAAAAAAGTCAACGCATAAAAAAGTTATGGTAAATTTTACCCCCCTCCCCCCCAGTGTTGGAACGTATGTGATGAAAATTTGTAAATTTCGTTTCAGTAGCGGACTGAACACGTAAGAGTTAAGCTAATTACCAAATTTTATAAATTTATCTCTACTGGTTTCGGAGTTATTTAGAAAAAACCATCATCAGATTGTCCCCTTTAATCGGCTATAACTTCCTTAGGAAGAATTTTTGGGCCCACATTTATATAAAGAAAAAGTATTATTTCTCGACATAGAACGCCCTGTAGAAATGTTGCCCCTAATTTCGGGACACCCTGTAGTTCTCTGAAAAATTGACTAGTAAAGCCAATTCTACAAATACTTGTTCATAAAAAAAGTAAAAATTTGTATAAACAATTCTTCACAGAATGACAACCTTTTATTTCTTAATTTTAAAGATAGTAAACTTTTGAGGAATTGAATAATGAATAAAATAAGCCTAGTAGTCCGGACGAATTAGGTTTTTTTTCAAAAATCGGGCCTACCTCGAATTTTATGGGCTTAAAATTAAGTAAGAAATACACAGAATAAAAGCCTAAATTTGTGTATTTGTAGAGATCGAGCGTCATATTGTTTATTATAACAAAAGAAAATAAAACAATTGCTTTTTTTCAGTTTTTCGTTTATATCTCCGAAAATAAGCCTCTAATCGATATGAAGTATACTTAATTATTTTGTTCCTGAGGAAATTTGATACAACGGTAGGCTTTTGCGAAAGCTCACAACATTTTTTTTATTGCAAAATTAGCGGCGAAAAGAAAAATGTGCTAAATTTCGTAGGCATCAACAGTTAATTTTAAGACAATATTTTATACGTCGACCTCTTCTGAGCACGCAAATAAAGTCGATTAAAAAAAAAGCATATCGGTAGCTGCCTTCTAAATGCCACAATCCATTTGTTAAGGAAGAATTTTGCGAAGATGAGCGCAGCAAGGGCATTACGACGTCACAGCACTCCCCTCTCCTGACTACCGCTCAGCCGCGCGAATCGCGCTGCCTTTAACGAACGTTTACTTGGTCATTTCTTGGTCAAATCGTTTCAAAAAAAAATTCAACGTATAAAGGAGGTCTTCTACTTCACAACGAGCCCAAGTTTATTACAAAATAGTAAATAGAACAGCCAGAATAAAAAAAAATATCTCGACTCCTATTGGTTGGATCGAGACGCTTTTTTTAAGAAATTTATGTTTTTTAAGCACTCTTTCATGCAATTGGTTTGAAATCTGTATATTAAAAAATCGCCGAGAAAAGGATCCTAGTTACCGTTTTTTTTAGTTTTTTGTTAATAACTTTTTTATTTTTACTTCATATCGATTAGAGGTTTATTTTCGGAGATATAAGCGAAAAACTGAAAAAAGCAATTATTTTATTTTCTTTTGTTATAAACAATATGACGCTCGATCTCTACAAATACACAAATTTAGGCTTTTATTCTGTGTATTTTTTACTTAATTTTAAGCCCATAAAATTCGAGGTAGGCCCGATTTTTGAAAAAAAACCTAATTCGTCCGGACTACTAGGCTTATTTTATTCATTATTCAATTCCTCAAAAGTTTACTATCTTTAAAATTAAGAAATAAAAGGTTGTCATTCTGTGAAGAATTGTTTATACAAATTTTTACTTTTTTTATGAACAAGTATTTGTAGAATTGGCTTTACTAGTCAATTTTTCAGAGAACTACAGGGTGTCCCGAAATTAGGGGCAACATTTCTACAGGGCGTTCTATGTCGAGAAATAATACTTTTTCTTTATATAAATGTGGGCCCAAAAATTCTTCCTAAGGAAGTTATAGCCGATTAAAGGGGACAATCTGATGATGGTTTTTTCTAAATAACTCCGAAACCAGTAGAGATAAATTTATAAAATTTGGTAATTAGCTTAACTCTTACGTGTTCAGTCCGCTACTGAAACGAAATTTACAAATTTTCATCACATACGTTCCAACACTGGGGGGGAGGGGGGTAAAATTTACCATAACTTTTTTATGCGTTGACTTTTTTGACTTTTGACTGAAAAGTATGAAATTTCAGTTTTTTAGTAAAAAAAGGTACTCTTGTTTCATATTGGTAGAATGTTCCATTTTTGTATAAAATCCATTAAATACAGGCAATACAGCGCACAAATTTTCAAAATAGATTTGCAATAAATTTGTGAACAGGAATTTTAGGGGACCTAGCTACTTGGACCAATCCAGTTTCCCGTTTGTCTGAATACAGAAGGATACTTAAACTTTCTGCAAAATGATGTAAGAGAACTATTGGATGATACACCGTTAAAAGTACGCTTAACATTACACTATCAACAACCTCTCTTTACCCATAATGTCATAAATTGGTTAAACGGTAATTTTCCTTTCAAGTGGATAGGTAGAGATGGTCCCATTCCATGGCCACCTCGGTCTCTAGACCTATATCCTCTAGATTACTTTCTGTGGGGTAGGTTGAAGGCTGTAGTTTATGCTACAGAAATAAATCATTTGGAAGAATTACAACAGAGGATTCATTTATTTGGCTGCAAATAATTTTTTTTTTTTTACTTTGTCAAATAATCATTTACTAAAGATTCGAGAATTTTTATGAAGATAACAATTCACAAAAACTAAATAACTGAACTGTCAATGCAAATAACGTCAAACGCATATTTGTTATTCAAAATCTGCGATATTGACAATTTCAATTCCCGATGATTAACACATATAACATTATTTTTAAACGGATTTTACACAAAAATGGAACATTCTACCAATATGAACCAAGAGTACCTTTTTTTAATAAAAAATCATGAAATTTCATACTTTTCAAAAGTTAAAAAAAGTCAACGCACAAAAAAGTTATGGTAAATTTAGGAAGAATTTTTGGACCCACGTTTATATAAAGAAAAAGTAATCTTTTTCGACACAGAACACCCTGTAGAAATATTACCCCCTAATTTCGGGACACCCTGTATATTTCATTTTTGCAATAAGTATTTCATTCTAAAATTTTTTTTCTGTTCATTCATTAATCATTAGTAATATTTTTGGTTTTCCATTTAAAAATTAAAGTAGCAAAAAAAATCCACTACAACTGCAGGCTAATTATATTTGAAATCGCATTATATTCCAAAGAGGCACACCTGC